CTTTATAAACTGTGTTATGCCAATTGAGCTAGATGTGCCCCGAGACCATGGTCCCCACAGCCCTCTGCCCAGCAGTTCAGTCCCTCAGGGAGTTTGGATGTGTCTATGGAGCTTCCATGACCTTTCCTTGTACAAGTTGTGCTGGTTGAAACTTAATTATTATGAGAAAAATAAGGTAGAAGGCAATTTTTTAAATAATTTATTTTATTTTTATGTTGTTTTGGTTGAGAATATACACAGCAGAACATACACCAGTTCACAACTTCTACATGTACAATTCAGTGACATTACATTCCTCAAGTTGTGCAACCATTCTCACCTTCCTTTTCCAAATTGTTCCTTTTCCATTAATATGAACTCTCTGCTCCCTAAGTTTCCTATCTAATCTCTTGAGTTACTGTTGTTAATTTGGTCCCGTATAGTTAGTTCTTAGAAGAGCTCAATGCTTAAGGCAGACATTCTTTACTAGTTAAGCTAAACTACTGCTTGGTTTTAGGAAGACTTCAGGGGATATTTTTGGTATAAGGTTTAAAGATTATCTCAGGGCAGTAGTCTTGGGGATTCATCCAGCCTCCATGGAACCAGAAAGTCTGGACTCCATGAAAATTTGAAATTCTCTCCTGCATTTTCTCTTTTGATTAGAATTCTACAGAATCCTTGATCAAAACGTTGAGTAACGGTAGCCAGGCACCATCTAGTTCTTCTGGTCTTATAGCAGAGGAGGCAGTTGTTCATGGAGGCAATTAGCCATATATTCCATTGGTAGAAGGCAAACGTTACATTCACTAATTTAAGGTTATCTATTTTATGTAAGTCATTGGAATTTTGATTGCACATAAAATAAGGAAGGTAAACTAAAACATACTTCAAAATTTGATACTACTTAATATATTGAGATTTATTGTAAGTTTTACCTACTAGTTGCCATTGAGTTAACTCTGGCTTATAGTGACCTCATGTGTATCAGAGTAGAATGGTGCTCCATAGGGTTTTCAATGGCTAATTTTTTAGAAGTAGATCGCCAGGCCTTTCTTCTAAGTTGCTTCTGGGTGGACTCAAACCTCCAATCTTTCAGTTAGCAGCCAAACACATTAATGGTTTGTACCACTCAGGGACTCCTGGTTAGTTTGAACTAACCAGTCCCATATATACGATATTTGGATAGAACATTATTTATCATTTTGAAACTATGTTGAGAATATATACCTTATGAAACATTTTCAGGACATGGTATATTTTGAGAAGTTTAAACAATAATTATTTGTAAAATAGATAGTAAGCTAGATTTACATTTTGGATTTAGAAAAACTGATTTATTTTTCTAGTCATTAATAGGCTGCAATATCTTTTTAGCACAGGTGATTCTCCGGAAGTGACAGTAGATAGCTGGATTCCTTTGGCCCCTGAAGCCATGTTAGGGATGCAGGTTAATATGGAGAAACAGTAGAATGGAATTCAAGCAAAGGAGATCTCTGTTTCAGAATAGGCAGGCACCTAAACTGATTCTGCTTTTCCTGAAGGAAGTCACTTTGAATTCAGTATTCAGTTGTCATTTAGACATCCCATTAAAACTGGTCTAATCAATTCTTTGACTAAATTCCGTATCATTTTTCGGAACAACTGGTTATTTTAACTCAGTTGCCTTTTATTTTTCCTCCTCCCAAATGATTATGTGGATATTATTGGGAAAAAGTAGGCATGCATATTTTAAATAGCCAGTGAGAGGTCTCTACATTTCCAGCATTCCTTACCTACAGCCCCTAAATACTGATAGAGAGAGAGCCTGGCAGTTCAGTTGAGAGGCTAGGGGGTATAATCCCACTCAGGATCTGTTGGTGTTTGGTTCAACCCCTTACGTCATCCTACGTCCCATCTTTTCCGTGGGCAGGGTAGTCATTGCATGTGTCTTAATCCTTACAAAATGGACAATAAACCATTTCAGCTGCCATTTGTGTTTCCTCCCCCAGACCATATACAGGAATGTACTAGATGATGTATATGAATATCCAATACTTGAAAAAGAATTGAAAGAATTTCAAAAGATACTTGGAATGCACCGTCGTCAGTAAGTATTTTCTTACTACAGTTACTCAAAGAAAGCAGCAAATGTGATAGATTTTGGGATAGATTTTGATAGATTTTGAACATTTTGACTCTGGGATTCATCTTAATTCCTTAGCTTTTATAGTAGTAAATCGTGTATTTTGTTTTTATATTTCAAAATGAGTGAATACTAAATTAAGCGTATTGATTTTTTTTTTTTTTTAAACGCTGTTTGATATGGTAGAAATAACTACTCATAACAACTGGATGCATAAAAACAATTATTTAATAAACTGTTATTTAATTTTAAAAGTCTAAGTATTTAACCTATCTTTTTTAGACTCACAGTTATCTCTGTGGAATGGGAATATAACTTCTATTTATGGAGTATTTGAAAATGCATATGTAATATCTTTTTTATTGTGGTAAAATATATATATAACAAACATTTGCCATCTCAACCATTTTTATGTGTACAATTCAGTGACATTAATTACGTTTACCATGTTGTGTAATCATCACTGTATCTGTTTCCAAATTTTTTTGTCACCCTTAACAGAAACTCAGTGTCCCTTAAGCAATAGCTCCCTTTTTCTCCTCCCACTGGCCCCTGGTCAACACTAATCAACTTTGATCTCTATGCTTTTGCCTATTCTAGATATTTCATGTAAGTGGGATCATATAATATATATACTTTTGTGTCTGATTTATTTCACCCAGAATGTTTTCAAGGTTCATCCATGCTGTAGCGTATATCAGAACTTCATTTCTCTTTGTGGCTGAATCATATTCCATTGTATGTATACCACATTTTGTTCATCCATTTGATAGACATTTAAATTGTTTCCAGCTTTTGGCTATTGTGAATAATGCTGCAGTGAACATTGGTGTACAAGTATCTGTTTGTGCCCCTACTCTCAAGTCTTTTGGTTATATACCTAGAAGTAGAGTGGCCGGGTCATATGTTTAACTTTCTGATGAACCGCCAAATTTTTTTCTACAGTGGTTGCACCATTTTACAATACCACCAGCAGTGGACGAGGGTTGCATTCTCTCCACATCCTTGCCAACAGCTTGTTTTTTTTGTTTTGTTTTGTTTTTTGTATTTTTCTGATAATACTGTGAGTGAAGCGGTCTCACTGTGGTTTTGATTTGCATTTTCCTAATGACTAATGACATTGAGAAAGTAAACCCTAGTGGCGTAGTAGTTAAGAGCTACGGCTGCTAACCAAAACGTTGGCAGTTCAAATCCACCAGGTGCTCCTCGGAAACTCTATGGGGCAATTCTACTCTGTTCTATAGGATCGCTGAGTCAGAATCGACTTGACGGCAGTGGGTTTGGTTTTGGTTTTGGTTTTGGTAATGACATTGAGCATGTTTTCATGTGCTTATTAGTTATTTTGTATATTTTCTTTGGTGAAATATCTAGTCACATTCTTTACTCATTTTTGGATTGAGTTGTTTATCTGTTTGTTGTTGAATTGTAAGAGTTTTTGTATATTCTGGATATTAAACTCTTATCAGATATATAGTTCCCAAATATTTTCTTCCATTCTGTAGATTGTCTCTTCACTTTGTTGGCAAAATCCTTTGATGTACTAAGTTTTTAATTTTGATGAAGTCCAGTTTATCTCCTTTTTTTTTTTGTTGTTGTTCCTCATGCTTTTGGTGTCGTAGCTAAGAATCTATTGTCAAAAACTAGATCCTGAGTCATTACCCCTATATTGTGTCCTAAGAGCTGTATGGTTTTAGTTCTTACATTTAGGTCATTGATCCATTTTGAGTTAATTTTCATTTGTAATTTGAAGTATGAGTCCAACTTCACTCTTTTACATGTGGAAATCCGGTTGTCCCAGCACTATTTATTGAAGAGACTATTCTTTTCCTGTTGAATGGATTAGGCACCCTTGTTGAAAATCAGTGTACCACAGGTGTATAGGTTTATTACTGGACTCTGAATTCTATTCCATTGGTCTGTATGTTTAACATTATACCAGTACCTTGTAATCTTGCAACTTTGCTGAATTCATTTATTAGCTTTTTTGTGGCTTCTCTGTGATTTCTATCTGTAGGATCATGACATTTGCAAATAGGATAGTTTTACATTATCCTTCCTGATTTTGATACCTTGTATTTCTTTTTCTTGCCTAATTGCTCTGGCTAGGACTTTCAGTACAATATTGAATAACAGTGGTGAGAGCAGGCATCCTTGTTTTGTTCCTGATCTTAAAGAGAAAGTTCTTTTTTAAAAAATATTTTATTGTATTTTTAGTGAAAATATACATAGCAAAACACACTCCCATTCAACAATTTCTATACATAATGTTCAGTAATATTGGTTACATTCTTCACATTGTGTCAACATTCTTATTATTTCTGTTCTAGTTGTTTCATTCCCATTAACTTAGTCTCACTTCCCCCTAAACTTCTCATGTATGCTTTAAAGTAACAGTTGCCCATTTGATCTCATATAAATAATTTTTTAACAGCACAGTACTCAAGGGTGACATTCTCTACTTTTTGAGCTAACCTGCTACTTAGTTAAAAGGTGACTTCAGGGGATAGTTTCCCAAGAAAGGGCAAAGTTCTTAATCTTTCTCTTTGAGTGTGATGTTAGCTATTAATTTTTCATAAATGCCCTTTATAATATTGAAGAATTTCCCTTCTATTCCTAGTTTGTTGTCTGTTTTAATCATGAAAGGGTGTTGAATTTTGTCAAATGCCTTTTCTGCATTGATTAAAATGATCATGTGGTTCTTTTCCTTTGTTCTATTAATGTAATGTATTACATAGATTGATTTTTCTGATGTTGACCCACCATTGCATTCCTGGGATGAATCACACTTGATCATGGCATATAATCCTTTTAATGTGGTGTTGGATTAGGTTTAGTAGTATTTTGCATCTATATTCCTTAGGGATATTGGGCTGTGGTTTTCTTGTGATGTCTTTGTCTGACTTTGTTATCAGGGTGATGCTAGCCTCATAGAATGAGTTAGGAAATATTCCTTTCTCTTCTATCTTTTGGAAGAGTATGAGAAGGGTTGGTGTCACTTTTTCTATAAATGTTTGGTAGAATTCCCCAGTGAAGCCATCTGGTCCAGAACTTTCTTTTTATATACTGTATTTTTCACAAATAACATGCACTTTCTGTGTTTGTTTTGTCAACCACAACTTCCCCCGCCCCAAGGTATTTTCATAAGCACAACTGTGCCAGTGTTTTTTTTACATGTTGCTGTAGAAAAAAAATCAGCATAGCATACTTACTTACATAAATACCTAGAGGGGTGGGGAGGGCAGATTGGCAAACAAACGAAGGCGTACGTTATTTGTATAAAAATATGGTATATCTTTTTTAAAAGTTTTAGAAATAAGTCCTAGTTGATGGCAACTAACAACAACAGTGAGTCATGGAGCATTTTAAAAGCTCAGTTTTATGGGTTCCCTGAGGTTTCTTTATCAGTTTAGAAAGATTAAAGAAAGCCATTTACTCAATGACTATTGGCATGTCTGAGTATCCCTTAAGTATCTATCATTAATCTTTTATATTGGCAATATCTGACTTTACTGTGATTTTACCACTGTCTCTCCTTATTCATTTCAATAAATGAAAAATAAGTTATTATTCAGTTTTTAGATATAACTGCAAAGTTACTCTGAAGGGAAAATTCTTCTCTGATTAGTAATGCGATTTGTATTTAGTAAACATGAAGTACATCTAGTTGTGAACTACTTCTATTAAGATTTCAGCAGTCACAAATGCACTTCTCATAGAAAACATTGATTCAGGCCTTTCAGATTATTGATTTGATTTGAGACTTAAAGCTGGACTTAATTTTAGTAAAGGGAGACCCTATTACAAATGCAATGTCTATAGGAATTAACTTTAGAGAGCAAACAAATCATTTCTAAGCTTTAGTCCTCAATCTTTGAAATCGTGCATTTAGAAATTCAGTTATGAGGGCAAGTTAGGGCAGTGCATTAGACTTGAATACTGTGGTTTCTGTTTTGTTTTTGTTTTTTTTTTTTAATCACAGTCTACACTGTAATAAATTTCCATGGTCCAAGACTAATATGAAAATATGAACAAATAAATGAACCAAAAAAGGAAAATACAATTTTTACAACAAAATAATTCCTCACGTGGAAGTTGCTCCATGTTATAAGGTAGACCTATTATATTTGGGAAACTTCAATTCATGATTTAATACATTTAAATACATTAATGGAATGTATTAATAGGCTCAGTACGTTCCATTAGCAAAGTACAATAAAATTGCAAAATAATAGATTATAATAAAGAAATGATATACAGACATGATTCTTGCCTCTTTGGTATAAGATTAAGAAATAACTTAAGTTTCTGGAATAACATTTGAACCCCAGTGTTGAGTTCATCACGTTCTTCTCTAGTCCCAATGTACTAACTGAGGAAAGTGTTTCCTTCTGAGAACAGCCTTGATACCTTTCACTTGACGGTTCCTCTAATAGTGTGGGAAGTCAGCCTGCCACAGTGCTGCTTTCTTCATGAGCAGATTTGGCCTTCAGAGGGCACTTGGCAATGGGAGTCTGTGCAGGGTCAGAGATGGGGACATGCAGCATGTTCCCACTTCCACAACATAGAGAAACATCCTGGAAATTATGCATCTTGACAGGATAGCTATTTAGATGGCAAGAATTTCACCTCAAGTCCTGTCAGTATGTGAGAAAACTTAGTTTCTGTGGACTGAATAAATCCACTTCTTCCTTCAGTGTGCAGCTTCACTTTCTGTGGGCAGAAAGCAAAACACCCCTGCTGAATAGATAGCTTCTTTTCTTCCTGTTTCGTTTGGAATTCAGAGCCCATTGTGAAATGTGTTGCACATAGTAAAATAATGAATACTGCATTTTATCTTTTTTTTTTTTTTCTGGGTTTGAGATGAAGACTGACTTCTTGTCCTTTTCCTTTCAGCACTGTAGATGAATATTCACCACAAAGGAAGGTAAGTCAGGCCCCTGTATATCTGTCTGAAAGGGAGTGATGCAGTTCAGAGACCTTGTTTGGCCTCATTTGGTATGTCTTCATGATAAAATGAACACTACCTTGAGAGCAGGGCCAGATGCAGGAGCCCGGGCTGCAGCTTGCCTGCACCTTCCTGCTTCTCTTCAGCTTCTCTTTGCAGACCAAATTCCAGCCATGTGCCCTTGACTTTGTGACGTTCTGCGTATTTCCTGTTGCATTTTAGACTCACAACTTCCTTGATATTCCCAAAGTGATATAAATTTGAATTTTAAAACATTTGTGGGGAAAAAAATCCAGGCAAGAATCTTAACTCCAAGAATAAGGAAGTGTTGTATGGAAAAGGTTTGCATTTTTTAACACGACAGAAAGAGAGATGGTAGCAAGCATGGGTTAATGTTCCCTATTCAACTTGATGACAGAGGAATACAAAATGAGACGTCAGCCACAAGTTTTGTAGAAGCTGATGTATCAGGTGAATAATCATACTGTATGAATCATATACCTATTTCCCTTAAGAAAGTCATGAACTACAGGAGAAGTGTGAAAGGATCTTAAAGTTGCTTCTGTGAAAAATGTAGAAAGCAGAATCAGGTCATAATAACTAACCTGAAGGTTGGTGTTGGGGTAGGGAAATGACATTTTCTCCAGAGGATAATCTGTGTAAGTTTGTAGTAGCCAGAGGTGGAAAATTGTGGAAGTATTCTGCATGTTGCTGGAAATAATTGTATGGGCTTTTTGCTTGCTACTGTGACCGAGGCCAGAATCATATTGCCCAGAATCCCCACCGTCACATGCATTAATTGAGGCAACTCCCAGTTTATTTCTTTAAGATTGGATGGGTGGATTTCTTATTTTAAAAAATTGGCCAGTTCTCTTGGAACATGTTGAAACAGCTGTGGTTTTTCCAAAGGGCAGGAATACATTCATTCATTGTTCTCTTTCCCCCTTCTCACAGAATAAAGCCCTTTTCCACCAATTCAGTCTTAAGGAGAATTGGCTCCAGCACAGAGGAACTGTGACTGAAACAGAGGAAAGTGAGTATGGTTTTAAGTGAGAGTTTGGGATAGGTGGAGTAGCAGTTAAGAACCATCATTCTCCCACGTTTATATATGACTCTGCCTTTAACCAGCTCTCATACCCCTCTGACAAGCACATTAGTATCAGATATGATGGTTTTTCTTTTCTTGCTTCGAGCATTATAGTTTCCTTAGATCATATTATACCATCATCAGAAAATACCAATCGCTAGAAAAGGACATGATGTTTGGTAAAAAAAACGAGGGAAACCATCTGTGAGTTGAATTGATACAGTGGCTACAACATGGGCTCAAATATACCAAAGATTGTGAGGATGGCACAGGACCAGGCAGTGTTTCATTCTGTATGCATAAGGTTGCCATGAGTTGGAGCCAACTCGATGGCAACTAACAACAAAGGACCGAGGGTACTTTTAATTTGGGAAGTAAGGAAAGGAGACTGTGCAGAGAGCCTCCCTGCATTCTTGGCCAGAGGTGCAGAATGGACTGGAGACTCAACCTTGTCCTCCTGAGACGACTTCTCCCTGGCTCCCTCAGCCTCTGGCTGACTGGAAACGTATCCAAAGCAAATGTGCATGGTTTGGACTGAGTCAGTCCCTGAAATTTAGAGAAGAAAATCTTGGAAAGAATAATGCAAGGAAGGATGCACGGTAGAAATTCCTCCAAGACAAGGCTGTGCCCCACGACCAGTATGTCCTCAGTCTATGCTTATTAGTGCGAAAAAGGCTCATGACCTCCCCTGAGGAGGGCTGCTCATTAAATAGAAGCGGAAACACCTTTTTAGCACCCTGAAGATGCTGACGTGCCTTCCTGCATTAGCATCTTATAGCGGAACAAGAAATGGTAGCGGTGTTTTCCTCCTTTTGGGTAAAGTTTGAGTCAAGTGAAGAGCCAGGAAACACAACACATTAAAATGTCCCGCTGTTGAGACGTTGAGACTTTCTCTTTTAAGTCACCCTTCTCCATGTGCTGAATTTCTAAATGTGAACATTCAATATGTTTAATTTCTCAAACATTTAAAGGACAAAATGTTACAAGGATGCCTCTTCTGTTATATAGCGTTGGTATATAACGCCGATGATAGCTGGAGCTCTGTGGTATTATATGAAGTATAATCTGCGCCAAGTAAAAGAGCAAACAAAATATCATACCTCCTCATTCGTTAGTTGCTGACTTTCCTTGCCCATTTGCCTTAAAATAATTTCATTATATAGTTTTCCAAGCTGAACTTCAAAGACACTGGGTGTTTTCACAGCCCCTGGCCTCTTTTTCTTCCATTTGTTAAACAAGCTGACCTCACATTTAATGGTTTGTAGACTATTTTTTGACTTGCTCAAAAATTCCATTTTTATGTGGAAGGAAAAACAGCCTTTTTGTCTCTCACAACTCTGTTGACAAAATATAGAACAACTATCTGTTGGATGCTATTGTTTTAGTGACATACCCAATCAAACCAAACAGAATACTGTCACTGCCTCACGGTGACGTGTTTACTTTGAGGTTCTGGACGTGTGAACTCATAGTTTGGCTCTTGCTTCATTTGCATTTCTTGAAAACATTCCTGGATTTATTTTTGTGGTGCCATTTAAATTGCTTATGAAATTTCTCTAGGAGTTGCACTGTCTCTATTTATTATTACTATTATTTGCAGTATAGAAAGTAAGAATTTCTAGGTATATTATTGTCCTTCTACCTATTCTAAAAAAGCTAGGGTTTTATAAATTCAGAGTATCTGATGTAAGAAGCAAATAATATGTCAATCATCTCCACTGCTATTGAAACAGCTTCTGCTATTTAAATCATAAAGAAAAAATTTTCCAGGACCTGTTCACTCTGACAATGATAATGTCCTAGTAATAATTATTATCACCACAGATAATAAAAAGGAAATTAAAAAAGGCTAGAAATATGACTTCCATTTGGAAACCACACTCACCACCACCTTGATCAGGGGAGCCATTCTTAAATAATTGAGAAGGCTGAACACAAAAAGCAAAGCAGGCAACAGATTTTTAGATAAGCTTAGAATTCTAATAATGAAATATGGTGTTCTTGATTGAGCCACAGCGACTGTTTGGAAATGTCATGTGTAAAATACTGTGGAGTGTAAAATAAAAATTTATGAGCTAGACAGTTTAATAGGCTGCTTTGGGGCTTTCAAAAGTACAATGCATGTTCCGCAGATTCCACTGTATTATGGTCAGACCATCTCCAACATGAACATGCACCTACGTGATGTGGGTCTCTCCTTTTGCTATGGAAAGCCTAAGAGCTACATGCTGTTCATCAGCTTTACAACTCCTCTGTCTCATGTGTGTGCAAGCACATTTATATGCATGTACCCTCAGGCACTGATGTGCATACATAAATATGTAAATCTAGCTGTATACATTTTATATTGAAAAGAATGGCAAGGTGCGCGCCTTGATTTGAAAAGTCTGTATCTCATGACCACATTTCTCTGTTGACTAATGATTCTTTTGAGTTGTGCAGTTTTTTGCCATGTGTATATAACTGAGCACTCCTACGTCAGTGTGAAGGCAAAAGTTTCCACGACAGCCCAGGAGGTCTTGAAAATTGTGGCAGAAAAGATCCAGCATGCAGAAGAGGACCTGGCTCTGGTGGCCATCACGTTCTCTGGGGGTAAATTATTTTTTGTCATTGAATATTAATCTTTCACTTGTTTGCCTCTGGAAGGAGAGTGGACATTTTTTTGTAGAGTAAATGTGCAGCTCGTCCCTTCTGGGTCCGCAGCTGGCTGACCACAGTAACAATAAGAAGCTGCCTACCAGAGGTGTTTCCATGACAACAGTTGGGTACTGCTGGATACTGAATTTCCTCTCCAAGAACTGAATGGGGAGGCATGCCAGTGTTTTGAAATATGTTATAAAGCTTTTCATATTTTGTACCCTAGATAAGCCTCCTATTTTCATATTTAAATTAACTTGGGAAATTGCTAAAGGATGAAATTACTTCAGGACAAAAAAGAAACACAGACTTGAACTAGTCATATTGCCAGCTGACAATTTAATAGTTAAAGACTTCCTGTTGAGAGGAGTACAAACTGTACAGTAAGCCAAAAGCTCACAGGCAGTGTTCCTTCAGGTGGATGCAGGCAGTGAGGCCTAGGTACATCTTTTCCTTCTTCTAGGCTTTATTTATCCTCAGAGAATAGTTTATTGTCTGTTTTGAATAAGATCATGCAGATTACAAGCTGACATTATTGATGTATGTGACCTGAACAGACCCCTTCCTTTTCACCGGAGCCTGTCAGATTTCAATGTCGCTGGCCTCCATTTTGGCTTGCAGTCTTTATTTAATATCGCATTAACCCTAAGAAAAATGCAAAGAAAGTGTCTTAGCATCAGTAGTTGAAAAATAGGAGTACTGTGTGAACTCATCAACCAGAGATAGGGAAGGCGGGAGAGGGGGCAGATAAATGGTTGCTGTTTACCCTTTGTTCTAATTCTACAGTCAGGGGAAGAATGTCAGAATTTAGTGGATGTTAAAGTATTATGTGACAGAATATTGTTTCTGTTGCTTTGTTCTCAGAGACAGGTAAGATCATTCTACAAACCAGTCAATTTTTACATAATGTAAGCGCATACATCCCTTCTCCCTGGGCTTAATAAATTAGTCTCCCCTCCTTTTCCCCCACTCACCACTCCCAGTACCCAAATGTACAACCCATAAAAATATTATCTAGAAAAAAGAGAGCTAAAATTTGAGAAACATGTGGACTAAATTAATTTTAATCATTAAATAGTTGAATTTTTAATTAAAAATTACAGGTATTTCAGATAGTTGTGTGACAAATGTATATTTAATTTAAGTGGCTAAAATATCAAATGACTTTGAATAGTATTAAGCTTCATCAATACCAACGTTTGCCCCTCATGATGGTATCACTACAGAAAATAGTCAGTGGGACCCCATTCAGATGGAAGGCACTGGGGAGAAGGACAGTAAGCAAACTTTGCAGCACAACTGAGACTCATCTCCCTCTGGAGCTGATTCAGAGTCAGCCCAGGCCACATGCAAATCTGTGAATTAGTGAGTGGCTCTTTTACTACCCAGTGTGTGTTTGAGGCTCTGAAATACCATTTTCACATTCTTATTAAATTAGATTCATCATGATGGACAATGGCATTCTAATATGTATAGACCTATTGCTAATCATCACTAGAAATACTAGCTTATCTCTTGAATTATCCCACAGATTTGAAAATGTGCCATCCTTTTCCGTTACTATTTTTGGTCTTTTAAGAACCTTTCTGCCAGAATCTTATTATCTCTCAAACAGTAATGTTTTAATGGGAAAAAAAAAGATGCAGAGCTTATTAATGCGTTCTTTGCTCTAGTTACACACTTTGCAATAAATAATGTTTTAATGCTACTTGAAAATGAAATGACAATGAGATCTACTGCTCTTATTTTTAAAAAAGTGGAAAGATGTTGAAGGTTTTGCTGCTGGAATGATACTACCATTCTCATAGTTTTCAGTAAGTTTCCAGCTGTTTTGTACCCAGGCTAGACCTGTGTATATAACAGTAACCTACACACTGATTCACAGGTTAAAATTCTGTCAGCTTTAATATTTTAAAATGCAATGACCAACCTGAAAATAAGGAAAAAAATTGTTTCTTGGCAGATAGAAAAATTGCTGTCAAAAAGCCGTGGCATTTTACTCTGTAGCAGGTGTGGATGGCTTCTAATAAATTCAGATTTGAGGGCTGCAGGGAATTGTAGCTGAACAAAGAGGGAGGAGATGGGAGCACTTTAGAGCCCAGCAGTGTGGTACCATTTACTACACACGTCAACAGCCTGACGTTATAGTACTATTGATCTTTATAATGCTGGGCCGTAAAGAATATATTAGATTACCATTTGTATACTCTGTATTTAGCAAGAAAGATGTCCGTCAGAAACATTCAAAATAGAATTTGGTATTTGAACTGATTGAGTTATCTGGAAAAGGGTTTATGTGGAGTATTGCATTCTCCAATCATGCTGGATAACTGAAGAGCTGCCTTAGGTGAAGCTCATTATGTCCCAGTGGAATAAACTTTAATATTACTTTAGTCCATTCCCATCTGCGTTCTGTAGTTATGATGAGGTGGACGTTTTTCTAGGAAGAAAACTATTTGTTCTAAGAGGCTTCCAACCATGATAGAAAAATGGTCAAAAGAAAGGAACAATTTGTAATAGATGAGAAATATATGAAATATATTTAACTTCACTCGTAATCAAGAAATGCAAAGTAAGCGGAGAATCTATTTTTTATTATTATAAAAATATAGATATCACAAGTTTACCAATTAAACATTTTTCACATGTACAATTCAGTGACACCAGTTACATCAAGCATGTTGTGCGGCCATCACCAATATCCATTGCCAGATTTTCCATCCCCATGAACAGAAACTCAGTGCTTGCTAAACAGTGATCCCTTTTCCCATTCCTCCCACCCCTGGTAACCACCAGTAGACTCTGATTTTTATACATTTGCCTATGAGAATCTGTTTTTGGTTTTAGCAAACTTACGAAAAGTAATGCTCAGTGTTGGTTAGTTTACCACTTTTATTCCTATTTTAGGAAAATAAATAGATATCCTAAAAATAAAACTTTGAAAGCAATTTAGCAGTTTGCATCAAAACATTTAGAAATATTCATCCCCTTTGGCCCTGTAATTCTACTACAGGAATCTCTCTTAAGGAAATCATCTATAAGCAGACAAAGATTTATGCACAAGGATGTTCACGTCAGCAATATGTATTATTGCTGCTGTAATAATAGATCCCATTTATCAAGCCCCTGTTATGTGCCAGGCCCCAAGCTTGTAGTTAGCATATATCATGCCATTTCATTTATATGACCAAAACAACTGAAAGCCGTTAAACTTTCAACAGTAGAGGAAAGATTAAATAATGATACAAATGACTGTTATGCAACCAATTAAACATGACACATAAAAATTTTAATAAGTGGGTAAGTGCTTATAATAAAATCATAATATAAAACCATATATGGAATAATTGCAAATATGTACAAATGCAAATATTTGTGTCCATGATAATTAATGTATGCATAGTATACATAAGAATGGCAAATATTGTGTATATATGTATGTGTGTATGCATGCACACACATATACATTTATATAAAGATCAGAAAAGATATATACCCAAATGTTATCAATGTTACCATCATATGGTTATCTTAGAGTGGTGGGATTATGAGTGAATTTTATTTCTTCCTTAAGCTGTTGTTCTGTTTCTAAAGAATAACTAAATATTATAAGAGAACACGAGTTTCCACTTTATGGATGCTGAGCAGTGAGGTCCATGATCCCACTGGTATCATTGTTTACAGTGTACAGAACCAAATCTAAACCCACATTAAATCCTGTTTACTGTTAAATACTGTTCTTTGGCAAGCTCTACTCTTTAGGGGTACCATCTAGGCCTGCTGCTATTCTGGTGTTCCTAATTACATTGTCTCTTTTCTTCTCTTTCTTCATAAAGAAAAGCATGAACTTCAGCCAAATGAGTTGGCCATCTCCAAATCTCTTGAGGCATCTAGTCGGATATACGTCTACCGGAAGGACCTGGCTGACACCTTGGTAAGGACCCTTTAGCCTTTTAGCCTTGAAACACACACACAACAATGTCAGACTCAAAGCCCTGGCCAAGGATCCACTTACCTAATAACTCTACATTTGCAAATCAAAGACAGGTCCAACTTTAGAAATTCTAAACCCCTACTAAGTTAAACCCTGCTTCTTTCTGAGCGCCTGAAACAAGGGATTTGAGACAAGTGAATCCTTCTCCCGTGAAATCTTAATTCCATCTCTTCTTTTTTGGCAGGTATTTGGGGATTAGGCTGAGAAATGCACCCTGGGCAGATTTAGGGAAAAGAGACTCCGTGTCTTTTATTTCAGTACATTTGTTGCTCTTCAAATGCTCCATTTCCTTGAAGAAAGGGTAGACTGTGGGCTCACCCCTGTATAAAATGAGTCATAACAACAGGGCATCTGATATCACTGAAGTTATTTTCTGTTCTTAATTTAAGAACATAGAAGCCTAAATGGACGATTTTTGTTGTTGCTGTCGTTCCTGAAGACCTCAGTCTTGTGGTTGCTTTCTTGGTGGTAGGACCTATAAACAGTCGGCTCTAACAGATTGTTGTTTTCCCATCTAGACTCCTGGACCTGGTCTCTCCTCATGGAGTCCTCACTGGGGCTGGTCTTCCTAGCTGGCTCGTGATTGAGAGATCTATATACCACATAGGTTTAAAAAAAACCTGCTCATAATAAAAATATTTTGTGTAAAATTATCTGCAGAATATCAAGCTACCGTAATAATATTAATCATTGTAATGTTTCATACTTATATGCAGGCCATGTATGTACTGAGTAATTTATGCAGAGTATCTCGTGTACCACTGGCAGGAACCCCACGAGGTATGAAGAGGCTGAGTAATTTACTCTAGCTTCATACAGCCAGGCAAGGATCAGAGCTAGGATTTAAATCCAGTTATGTTTGACTCCAAAGTCCTTGTTCATTCCTTTCATTGGTACACGATGAGGCACAAAAGGAGCAGGAACGGCTTTGCTTACTTGATTCTGTCCAGTTCTGAATGGCCTTTGGCAGGTCACATGTGCTGTGTTCATTCATCATGTAAATCCATTAGTGAAACATTATAAACTTAGTGCTGCACAGCATCTTTGAGTAAATAATGAGACTGATTTTCCCCCTTCTCATAAAGGATAATGATTTAGTAGGTAGGTAGTGTGGGGTTCTTTGCAGTGGAGGAAGCCCGCACTCTGTCTTCCACTTCTCTCCTCCCCCATCCCACACAGGCTTCTCCTGTGCTTCCCTTGTACACAGTCCCAGGGTGCTCTCCTACCACTGTCAGACCAGTTTAGAAAGGTAGAAGGTGGGCCTGAGGCAAGACATCAGTGGAGCAAATGAGTGCCTCTAAAGTGTCTTTCTAGGGAGCCAGGCTCCCACCTGCCCTCAATTTCCCCATTAGAATCATAGGTTTAGATATTTCATCTCCTAAAAGGTTTTAGTTAAAATGGAAACATTTTACGGGAAGGATAACACATTAAACCACTAGTTCCCACTAGATGTGGGGACACTGTGGTTCAATGGTAGAGTTCTCACCTCTCTGGGAGACCCAGGTTCAATTCCAACGCACCTGATACGCAGCCACCACCTATCTGTCAGTGGAGGCTTCCGTGTTGCTTTATGCTGAACAGGTTTCAGTGACGCTTCTAGACTAGGGAGAAAGCCTTGGCAATCAACTTCTGAAAACCCTATGGAGCATAATGGTCAGATTGTTGTGCATGGGGTTGCCATGAGTCAGGGCTGACTCAACACCTAACAACAACCTACTAGCATATTCACATTAAAAAACAAACAAAAAAAAACCCCGTTGCCATGGAGTCGATTCTGACTCATAGAGACCCTGAGATTAGTTAATCTTCTTAGAAAGCAGGAATTAGAGCCCCGAACAAATGAGATACTGGAATGTAAAGTGTTTCTTGGTGAGAGCAGTGGATAGCCTCGAATAACCAGAAGACAGTTTCAGGGTGAGGGGCACATTGAGGGAGAAAGTAGGAGGAACAAAAAGCTGAATAAAAATATCCTCACTCCTCCAAATGACCAAACAGGTGTTTGTGTTACCTGCCTACACTTCGCCGTCCATTTGAAAGTCAGCCTGGGCAGTGTGGAGTCCATCTGGTCCCAGTCTAGCCTGGCCAATCCTTGAGAGACCTTGGTTTAATCCCACCACCTCAATATTTGCAAACTCATTCGTTCAGTCAGCTCTTCCAGAGCCCCGCAATGTATCCTCCTTACAGAGAATCAAGCCTCTGGAAGAAAAGCTCTGTGAAGGCCCTTTGTCATTAGTTTTTAAATTAGAAAACCTCTTCATAAATATAAAAACTCCTAAAATGAAAGTAGTTTATTTTGTAGTTTAAAAAGAGATTCGTATTTTGTATCTGAAATATTCTCTTCCTGCATTGTTATTTATTTTTGCAAAGTCATGTTCTTCTTGTTTTTAAGATGTCATCATTAACTATTCAAGTCCAACGCATTGAAATCCCTTAAATGGGAGAATTTATATTTTCATTAGCAGATAGCAAACATTTTGGAAAGATGCCATGTAATTTTAATAACTTCCATAACAGATTAGAGCTGTTGTGGCATTTAATAAATTCATGCCAGATTTTACAGACGTAGTACTGCCAAACTCATAGTAGTTAGGCCCTGTTTATGTATATAGAAAGCTGTTGATACGTAAAATAATCATCTACCATTGCACATAAATGGAATAACTTTTATTTTTTTATTTCATGTTTAAATTTTTTCACACTGCATGGGTGTTTTAATAAAATTTATAGATGTGTGTCTGGAATGAGATTTGTTAAACGTATCTCCTGTAAAAGCCGTGTCTGTCTTTATTGAAGTCTGTACCATGACATTTCTTTTGTTTGTTTTTGTGCTAACCCTGCTGGCGCATTAACTCTTACCAGAAGCCAAAGTGATTTCAGGGCTTTCACTTTCATCATGCTCTCTGCCAGGGCAGTGTTTTATAATCAGGTGTGTGTATGTGTGTGTGTGTGTGTGTGTGTGTGTGTGTGTTGGGGGAGGGACAGGCAAAATCAGTGAAATATCATTGATCAAATTCCCGTTTCCAAGGCTATCTCCTAAATTGGCTGTAACTCACTGAAGGTGAACAAACCAGAGAAAATATTAAGTGCACTCAAAAAAGATTACTTTTCTTATCTGGGCTTCTAGAGCCTTTCTTTCTGTGGCCAGCCAATTACAGTACAAAACTTTTGGGAATTACTGAGGATCCTTTTGCTTCTGTCTTTTGGTTTAGAACCCATTCGCAGAAAATGAGGAATCACAGCAAAGGTCCATGAGGATTTTGGGAATGAACACTTGGGATCTTGCCCTGGAATTAATGAATTTTGATTGGAGTCTATTTAATTCAATTCACGAGGTAAGTAGGGAGTGAAAAGATAAAATAAATGCTAGTGCTGTTTTAACTGTGAAGTCTTTTTGAAGAATATTTGTATGTGTATCTGAGTATAAAAAAAGATCCGTCACCTGGTGATACAGTTTTGCAAGGATAGAATGGTCCAAAAATATATTTAGGTACTTTAAATATATTAAAAGACTGATCTAATCCTAGGAAAATCATATACTTGGTCATGCATTCATATATTTGTGTAATGTGATAGTATAAATATGCTATATTCTTGTACGTATGTATACATATGTATGTGTATCATATATTTATATAAAGTTCTAATGGGGTTGAAGAACCGTTTTACCTTTGATACTGGTATTTTTACTTTTTTTCATGAAAGTTACATAGTTATAAAAGAACCACATTTGTATTTATATATGTGTGCATACACAAATGTTTACTCTAAGAAAATTCTGTAAATTTAGACTGAGCTGAAAAACTTCAAAGACTTCCTTGCAAACCTTGAGATATGTGTCAAATTTTTATATCTATCAACTTCTCCCTTCAGGACAAATTATAACATTTACGAAATGGTAGGGTAGGGGCGAAATGCTACTGATAACTAATGATTAAATTTGACCAGTGGCAAGGCTCACTGGAATCAGGAGATGAAAAACGTGACAGTCCTGTGCAACCGTATGTTGGATCTGCTTTGCCATGTAGTGAAATTTTTCACCACAAAATGGTCTTTTCCATCGACCGCTAACTGAAAGGTCAGTGGTTTGAAACCACCAGTGGCTCCAAGGGAGAAGGATGTGGCAGTCTCCTTCTGTAGAGATTTACAGAACCCCTATGGGGTTGCTATGAGTTGAAATTGACTGGACAGCAGTGGGTTTAGTTTTTTGGTTTTGACCTTTCAAAAGCTAGTTGCCAGGCCTATCTTCCAAGGTACCTCAGGGTTGGTTTGAACCATCAAACTTTCGGTCATTAGTGGAGTACTTAACCGTTTATGCTACCCAGGGACTCTTTTAAATGTCCTCATATTTTCTCATTAAATTGAGAGAAAATTTCAACATTATGGACTAAATTTCAGCAACTAGTGAACTCACTCAGGCTAAATGACTTGTGACTTTGAAAATGTGATTAGAGTGAGCTATGACCCTGCTTATCCAGTGGGAGAATATGGATTATTTCCATAAAATAAATACACATACATCCCCCTACCTTTAAAATCAAGTCTCTTGTATTGCTCTGCACATGATCAGTCTGTATAAGTAGTTACTGGTCTTTTTCACTTTGGTGTAAATCATTGGATCTTGCCCTCATATCACTTTCTTTGTGAATTGACAGTATCTTGTATCAGTAGTTCTCAAAGCAAGATACCTACACCAGCAGCATCAGTATCAGCATCACCTGGTAACTTGTTAGAAATGCAGATTTCAGGCCCCACCACAGACCTGTTGAATCAGAAACCCTGGGAGGGGTGGGTGGGCAGCGAGGTCCAGCATGCTGTGGTCGCCCTTCAGGTGATCCTGGTTCACACTAAAATTTGAGAACCATTGTCTTAGAGAGTTGACCAAGTTGTTCTTGTTGTGTGCCGTCGAGTCAATTGTGACTCAAATCAACCCTATAGGACAGGGTAGAACTGTCCCACGGTTTCCTAGGCTGTTATCTTTATAGGAGGAGATCTCCAGGTCTTTTCTTTTGTGGAGCTACTGAGTGGGTTTAAACCCCCAACCATTTGGTTAGCAGCCAAGTACTCAACCATTGTGCCACCAGGGCTCCTTCAAGTCCTAGTAGTAGTATTCATTTTCACTTGTATTTGCCAACATATAAAGTTTGGGAGGTTTTAGGATTCGATCGTAAGATTTACACTTTAGAATGTCTTAGATTGTAAGGACTTTGTCTTATATTCTAAAACATTATTTTATGTAAGGATTCTAGATAAACATTATTTATGAGGTATCTCTGAAACTCAAGATAAACGAAAGGTAAATTTTGAATTCAACACATTATTTGTTATATATTCTCTGTTAACCTATCTAATGAAATGGGAGTGGCTGCCTGAAGATCGCTCTTAAAAATGAGCTGGATTTTGTATCAACATGACTTTGAATGTGCTAAAAATAATCCCTGGCATAAATACATTTTCTTTCAGCAAGAGCTAATCTACTTCACGTTCAGCAGACAAGGAAGTGGGGAGCACACTGTGAACCTCAGCTTGCTACTGCAGAGATGCAATGAAGTCCAGCTCTGGGTGGCCACTGAGATTCTGCTCTGCAGCCAGCTGGGCAAACGGGTACAGCTGGTGAAAAAATTCATCAAAATCGCTGCTCAGTAAGTTCCTGCTGGTGAAAAGTGCTGTTTCTCTAGTCTCCTTGAGAACTTTTTTTTTCCTTGTGGTGATGATAAGAAAAGTTGGAATGTAAAAATATAAAATTGATTTAAGTAACCAAATGATTGAAAAGGTCTGTTCTTGAATATGTATTATTTGCATTTGAATTATTTATATTTTAAAGTAAATGCCAAAACACCAGACTCAAGCATTGGCCTATATGCTGTAGAACTAATAAGAAGGCAGTGCACTCTTCCTGTTGTGCAGCTAAATGACAGTGTGGACAGGTGAGCTACAGTAGGCTAGGAAAATCGGGAAAGGTGATGTGAGGGAGTGAGAATCCTTGAAAGGCAGGTGCACTCTAGGGTTTTGCTCTTGACTCCTTGTTGCCCAGAGTATGAATTTTGCAAACCCATGAGAAGGAAAGCCTTGCACTGGCTGGCCGCAGCCTCCTGAACTTTGAGCCTCACCCCCAGCATGCACCCTGTGCCCCAGCCACTCGGAATGTCTGTCTCTTTCCCAAACACACCATTGGGAAAGCCTGGATGTGTGATGTTGGCTCTGCCAAGAATGGCCACTTCCATTTGAACTGGGTCTTGAGGAGTGACAGCAGTTTGTTCAGTCATTCCTCAAGACCTAGTTCAAATGTTACTTCCTTCCTGAAGCCATCCCTGGGTTTCAAATGCAAGGTCAACTACTACCTTCCCTGTCCCCTCACATACTTTTTTTTTTTAAACAACTTTTATTGTATTTATTAAATTTATCTGTTTTTATAGAATTCCATCACTAGACTGTAAGCTCCCAGAAGACAGGAACCATTTCGAATCAGTCATTGTACCTTGGGTGCCTGCTATAGAACTTAAACAGCAGTGACTCAGTAATGCTGGTTGAATGAAATTTTAGTAACTTGCTGGGAGCACCTCTCAAAATACTGAATTACTACCGAAACTGTTCACTTGGACAGCTTCCAGAAGCAGGAAGCAACATGGATCAAAATCTTTCCCAGTTCCTTTTTCCTCCCAGCCTTCCCATTTTATTTCTCCTTTGTCTTCCAAAGTAGTTTTTATATAGAAGAGTGTGAGTAGAGTACTTGTCACTGTAATGTATTTAGGAAATATGCACTGATTGCTCATAATATATGCAGATCTATGCAAGGTACTGTGGGAAGATCAGGCTGAGCCTACACCTAATCCTTGCACTCAGGGGACTGCTGTCTGCTAGGGAGATAATTCTGTAATGCACATGGCTAACGTGCAAAGTAAAACGGAGAAGTGCCCTATTATGAGATCAAATTCTGTTGGGCTTTAGAGGAGGAAAGATAATATCCCAAAGGATGTGAGAAGGATTAGGAAAATATCTTTGAAGGAAGTAGCATTCGAGGCTATATTTGAATTCTGAGTGGGATTTTGGGAGGTGAGAATTCAGAAGAGCACATTCTCCATGAAGGTAAAAGGCATTGCTGCTATATTAGCAAATAAGCAAAGCATGTAATCTGGGAGGGCAAAGCCATTCAATTTGGCAAGAGTGGAGGTTTTGTAAGGAAGTTGTGGGGGATTGATCTGAAAAGGAGAGTGGGACCGAATTGTAAAAGATCTTGAATTCCTAATTGAAGATTTTGAACTGAATTGAGAAGGCAGAAGAGATCCACTGAGATTCGCTAAGCAGGGAACTGATGTGACCAGAGTTGCCCTTCAGGAAGGTTGATTTGAAAGTAGCACATAGACTGAACTGTAGGCAGGAGACCCCAGAAGTAGGATATTTTGTTTACTGAGGCAGGAGATAGTGGAGGGTCCTGACTTGGTGTTCAGTATGACTGGGAGTGGAGGAGGGGTAGATAACAGATACTCCTGAAGCTTGGGCTGTGCTTGTTGTGAATGCTCCGTTTTTGATTTTGCCAGTGCGTTTCATAATGGCCTGTGAAATTCCAGAAGGTGATGTTCTTTTGGTAAAAAAACTTTCTTATACATGCCAGCTATGAGGAGAAATGGGCCATTAATGTTGCAGGAAGTAAGATGACACCATCTAGCTCAGTTCCCGGTGTAAGATTCTGTCCATCCTCAGGGACATGAAATATATTCACACCTTCTCCATATGGCCCCATGCCCTTGAATTATTTATTGTTTACTGGTCTCTGTCCCTTGCCCATGGCACAGAATGCCAACAGAAACATACAGTTAAATTCCTTATAATCACACTAGTAGGAATAACCAAGGGAAAACAGTAATTTCCACAATCATGAAGTGTTTTCCCTGCCTGAGGCATCCTATTTGCATATTCATGTCTCCCTTCCTTCTCACCACCATCCCCGCCCCCCACCTCTGTGGATTGAGTGGATTTGATTTCCTCACACACAGACAAAGGAGTTATTTGCTAAACTGGAATGTTTACTGTCAGTCTGTTCTTATCATGGAATGAATGACCCTAGATAACAGGATTCCAGACTGAAATGGTTACCAATATTTGTACTGTTCCAATTTGTCTTACAGATGATAAATCATGTCTTTATTAATTCTTTTTTATTTACAGATGCAAATGTTAGTTATATGTGTGTGTGTGTGTTTTAAATGACTAAAAAAGAAAGAAACATGGACCAGGGAAATTATTTATGGGGAGGTAAAAGATAAAAAAATGGATATTATACTTAATATTCCATGCAGATAAGTGATGCTGAATAGAAAGGGGAACAATACTGAATAATAATAAAACCATATCCCCAAAAGTTCCTTTTTTCAACTCAATCTCACTGCGTTGTCTCTCTCTTAGTCCTCCTGCCTGGCTTCACCTTCAAATGCAATTTGGAGGGCTTGCTGTATACAAGGCACTTCAGCGATGGGCAGAACATAAGTATGAAATAGACATGTTCTGGCCTCAAGAAACCTACTGCCTAGTGGGAAATGACAAAATTGCTGAGCCACCATCATATGTAGCAAGGTGGGAGGACCGAGGAGGAAGACGGCTTCCAACCAAGGTTGTTCTGGCATAGGGACAAAACAGTTCTTATTGGCAGCAAGAGCCTGGGCAGAGGAGGCTGGCATTTCAAATCAACAAGTCAAGAGATGGAGCTAACTCAAGTCTGTCCTGACTGGTGCCAACTTTGAGGGGGTATAATAAGACAGAAAGGGTGGAATGGGGGAAGCGAGTGGCAGGAGGGAGGCTGAGCAGCAGTATTGGAGCTGTTAGGCAGCAGTGACCCTCAAAAACAGATGGACATCCAAATCACAGACCAGGAAATATCTTGTTTCGGTTTATTCACCCAGGAGAAAGTTGGCACACGCCAGGTGAAGGGCCAATTGGGCTGAAATTCAGAGCTTCCCGCTTACCAGGGAACTGAAGGCAGAGCCAGAAGTGGGGCAGGAAGACTGAGAGAGGGACAGCCTGGTGTAGGTTCAGTGACAAGGTGCCTGCTGGAGTTGTGTTCACCTCAGATGTCTTAGACACCAGGTATAGAGGCAGCAGTGACTTTCCAAGTGTCACTATTAATGGGGATTGTTGTTGTTCACTGCCATCAAGTCAGTCCCCAACTCATGGTGACCCCATGCATAATGGGATCAGAACTTTGTGCTCCATAGGGTTTTCATTGGCTGATTTTTTGGAAGTAGATCGCCAGGCCTTTCTTCCTAGTGTGTCTTAATCTGGAAGGTCCACTGAAGCTTGTTCAGCATCACAGCAACATACAAGTCTCCACTGACAGATAGGTGGTGGCTGCACACGAGGTCCATTGGCCAGCAATCAAACCCAGGTCTTCTACATGGAAGGCAAGAATTCTACCACTGAACCACCACTGCCCACTTATTAATGGGGATAGAACTTCCAAAATGTTACTAGGCCTGTCCTCACTGGCTTGGCACCCAGGCTCAGCTGGACTTGGGCTGTACACGGCTCTAGGACCAGGCAGTTCAGGCAGGATCTGCTGGGGCACAGCCAGCTGGGTATATTATCACTTTCACAGCCCCAAACCATTTCTTGGTTCTAGACTAGGTGTTCTTATGCATTATCTGTGCAACTGGAAATTGGTGTAGCCTTTTAGGGCAGCAGTTTGTTCTGTGTAACAAGAACTTTTAAGGCTTCGTAGTTTTTGACCAATCATGTAATGGCTGGAAGACTAGCTTAAGGAAAAAAAAAAAACATAAACACAGTAAGATGTTTATGCACAAAGATATTCACTGCAGCGTTCTGCATACTAAGGGGGAAATGAAGATAACTTAAATGTCAACAATAGGGAGATGAGTAAACAAATTGTAGCATGTGCTCCTGATAGATATCATACATTAATGATGATAGTGAAGAATCCATAGTATGTAACTTGTAGTATTAATTCAAAAAGCAGGATACAGAATTGTATATACACTGTTCCCAAATTCAATTTGGTGGCATTGGTGAAGAAGTAATGGAAGAAATGGCATTTGTTCGAAGCTACAGTAATACTCACTGGGTGCCTATTGGAGCCCTGGTGCTGAAGTGGTTAAGAGCTCAGGCTGCTAACCAAAAGGTCGGCAGTTCGAATCCACCAGCTGCTCCTTGAAAATCCTATGGGGCGGTTTTACTCTGTGCTATAGGGTCGCTATGAGTTGGAATCAACTCAACAGCCACAGACTTTTTTTGTTTTTTTGGGTGCCTGTTAGTATCCCTGGTGGTGCAGTGGTTAAGAGCTATGGCTGCTAATGAAAAGGTCAGCTGCTAACCAAAAAGACTGGCAGTTCAAGTCCACCAGCTGCTCCTTGGAAACCCTATGAGGCAATTCTACTCTGTCCCATAGGGTTGCTATGAGTCGGAATCGACCTGATGGCAATAGGTTTGGTTTTTTGGATTAGGAGCCCTTGTGGCACAGTGGTTACAGTGCTTGACTGCTAACTGAAAGGTTGACAGTTTGAAACCACCAGTGGCTCCACAGGAGACAGATGTGACAGTCTGCTTCCATAGATATGTACAACCTTGGAAACCCTATGGGGTTGCTATGAGTTGGAATGGGCTTGAAGGCAGTGGGTGGGATTTGTGTGCCTATTATGTACTTGCTATTTTTTTTTTTTCATATTTAGTAATCAAAGTAGGGTAATTTTACACATGCTCAGAGAAGTTGTTTTCTAATGCTCCCCAGATAAGGGAATATCTGGAATTAATAGTCTGTTCTGGCTGACATCAAAGCCCAAACTCCCCTCTACCACACCAAGCCCCCTCAGCTGCTCTTGAACATTAGTGGAATTTTGACCGGTTAAGTCTAAGGGCATGGTCGGCTTTGTGCAGAACGGATAGCCTTACACAGTGAATGGAGCTCAACGTGATCTTACTTTGTATTTTATTTCATTTTTTCTTTAAATGAGAAATGTGGAATGGTATTCCCATAATATACGCCACATTTAAATATATACATAATAGAGTAGCTACTTTATTGATAGCAAAGAAAATAGCTTTAAATTTAACGGGAGAGGGAGCTTGTGGGAGGAGGTGAGAAGGGCTTGTCTGTCAAAAAAGGAAAACAACATACTGATGGAAGAGATGGGACTAGAAAGCAGTTTCAGCAAGAGTATGGCATATATAAAGATGAACTTAAAGACTTCAGTTGAAACTGTAGAAGCGTATGAGATAGAATTTTTTTTTTTAAAGTGGAATTTTTTTAAATGTCCAGAGAGTATTAAGAGTGCAAATCTCTTCCTAAGGGTGAGAATTAGTTGCAACATTTGGAAATCTTTCTTTTCGCCTTAGAAACAGTTGAGGGGATGCTCCCCTTCACCCAGGGGTAGTGAACGGTACATTAGCTATAGAGCCATAGCCGAGTTCTGCCCTGCCCTAGAGGTTAAACTCTGGCCTAGGAGATGTTTTTCAGCTTATCGTTTGTGACCTTTTGGAGAAAGGATGTTACCTCAAAGTACCCTCTACTTTCTTTTCTCCCGTAGCTGCAAAGCCCAGAAAAACCTGAATTCTTTCTTTGCTATTGTGATGGGTCTCAACACCGCTTCCGTCAGCCGACTGTCGCAGACCTGGGAGGTGAGCCCTGGGCTTGCACATGGAGGGGGAGGGGGTGGGCAAACAAACTGAGAGGGGACTATTAAATAAAGGAAAGCCTTTATTTAAAGTCAATAGATTAAAATGAAATAAGTGCTACAGAAAAAAATTTAAGAAGTATTATGTCAAGTTGGTAGAGATTATTTTAGGCAAATGGCCTTTAAAAATATGTTTCTAAAATATATATACAAATATGAAAAATATATTAAAATATACATGAGATATATATTTTTATATTAAAAATAGCTTTTAATTTAAAAATGAAGACATCCTCCCCAGCTGGAATTAGTCTTCCTCTGCTCTGCTCCGCTATAGCACGTTTGCAGTCCCATGCTGGCCCTTTCATAGCTGACCTGCACCGTGGTGTGTGTTCAGAAGTGGGATTGCTGTGGTGCTGATGAATTTAAGCTTCAGGGCCTCTCCTTTGTGTGGCCCCTGGCAGTGTGTGCATGTGAATGATGTATATCTTTGTTAAATGTACAAAAGTAAGGTAGTTTTGTATTCTTTCTCATAAAGAGGACACAAAATCGTATCAGTTTCAGGCTTCCCAAATCCCGGATCTACCTCTGTGTGTGCTGTGTTGTGAAGGTGGTTGGGTTATAAGGAACAGAGGCCCGCTTGAGTTAGTGCAAGTACTGAGGGATGAATCATGAGAGTGTCTGTGGGCAGAACTGAAACCAGCATCCCTAAACTGAGCCAGATGCCGAAGCAGCGCTCTTAGCGTCTCTCATGGCCCCTCACGGCCCCATCACCTTCTTCCTTTGGGCTTTTGTTTCCCTGGCTTTCCTTCCCTACTGATCAGCCGCCTAACTCTTTATACGATCTCTCTTCCTCATTTTTCTTTAATCGTAGGGTCTTCTCTCTTGTAGCTCTACCTGTGTGGGGCTTACCGTGGTCTCCTTAGCCTTTCTCTGTGTTATGTCCTCTCAGACTCCGCTCCTGTCACTAGGCACACCATTCTCTTCATGGTTCCCATTCAAACTCCTATTAGAAAGAAGCTGATAGGCTAACAATTTTTTTTCTTATGTTAGATCTCAGCATAGGTTTCTGGGCAACCTATTTATTCATTTTCTTTGAGTCTAAGGCCTTTCCCTGGTGGAATGCCCTGTGGTGACCTGAGGGTCAGGGTTAGCTCTCCTTAAAGGGGTTCAAAAGAAGAGAAATGAAAGCCCAGCCTGCTCTGGTTAGGCAAACAAATGTGCACGCACATCCTAAGATGAAAGCAGATACGCGGCAAAGGCCGTAATTGATCAGAGCAGGAGGAAAACAAAATGGGCTTGAATGGCTGACAAGGGCCTAGGCAAAGTGGAATTTGAATTAAGCCTTGAAAGAATCTCTGATTTGTGAAACTGGGGAGGAAAACTAATCCAGTTAAATTCAAAGAGCATGCATCTAACGTGAGTAATGACCCCCTACTACGTGCAGAGTGCTGCAGTGTTGTCATGGCAGATAGAAAATGGGCCAGACAGATTAGAGCGGAATGTGTGTGGATGAAGGAGGTCTTGAACCAAGTCTTGCGGGACTGGACCATGGAGGAGAAAGTGGAGGCTGAGAAAGCCCGACCAGCAGGACCTTGGAGGTTAAGTTGGGATTGGTAGAGTGTGGGGTGGGCATCCCAGGCGGAGGTGACCACAGGATCTCTAGGCCAGGTGACTGGAAATAGGGAGAGAAGTAGGTTTGAGGGTCTTCCTGAGATGTCTGCATATCCTCCGATGAGGAAACTGAGATCAGAGAGCTCAGAGACTCTCCCAAACCACATAGCTAGAAAGTGGCAGAGTTGGAACTCAAACTCAGATTGACTTCATGTATGTACTCTTTACTACAAGAGATTACCATGTTAAAATCAGGTTGAAAATGTTCCAGGCCCTTCTTCCTTAGTCCTGGATTTTTATTTGGGAGGATGATGTACGTTTCCATGCTGTCATTTTGCGTGTCATTTATTAATGTGGTTGATCAGTACAATTCAATGATTCTGCCTATTAAAGTGAGGACTTTATTATTTAAGGTGTTCATGGCCATTTACTACTTAACTCTCTCCTGTAAAATGTAATTATATCATTTATATTAAAAAAAAAAGTCAACCAACATTATTATTTCCCACTCAGCAAGATCATTAAGAAAAAGAGAACGTACATCAAAGTTAGGTTATGGAAATGAGATCCAAGTCTTTTTTTATTAAGTAATCACCAGTATGTGGAATGTCTAGCCAACTGGATTCCTGAAACATGTGGTTATTACTTTAAACTGTTTTTAGCAACATTCCCAAGGACTGTCACATCTAAGGGGATGATGAACATTAAATCATGAGAAGCAATCAGGCTAGAACCAGATGACAGAGATATTTATGTTCAGAAATGTGACAGGTGAAAGTACCACTTAATGAAAATGCCTCTTGGTGCCTCTCAAATTAACTGACTAATGTGACTTATTCTGTTGTCTGGTGTTTGTTTGTTTGTTTTTTAATTTGATTGGGTTTTTTATTGTTGTTCTTGCTTATTTGTTTGTTTTTGTTTTTGTTAGAAAATCCCTGGGAAGTTTAAGAAACTTTTCTCTGAACTTGAAAGCTTAACAGTAAGTAGTTGGGCCACAGGGGACTTAATCTTTAAATTAATTGCTGGTGTCTGGTTTCTTTCTAGATTTCAGTGATTGATATTTGTACTACTCAGTGGCAGGTAGCTTAGACTAGCTCACTTGTATATGAAAATATAGCTTTGCTTTTTATGGAGGAAGTGAGTCAACAGTTAATACTTCTTCCTCTCCATGTAAAAAGGTCCGGAGACTAGTCCTTCTGGTATGAATTTCAGAAGGCAGATTTTTAAGGTTCGTCCATTTCAAAGCCTGTGAAATTGGCGCAGTGGTTAAGCCCTTGGCTGCTAAGCAAAATGTTGACAGTTCTAACCCACCAGCCACTCCACAGGAGAAAAATGTGGCAATCTGCTTCCGAAAAGATTTACAGCCTTGGAAACCCTATGGGGCAGTTCAGCTCTGTCCTACAGAGTTGCTATAAGTCAGAATTGACTCGATGGCACCTAACAACTAACAACAACATGAAATTCAGCAGTGTAGATTTAATGGGTAAGTTAGCGTCTTATGCATTAGTGTCTGCTTTTGACTATTTCTTAGGTTTAGGTACAGAATTTACAGTTTTTTCCCCAGAACACAACAAAACCGTATTCTCTTATTTTCTCTGAATTGTCTGTGCCTTATGAGGGTGATTTTTCTTTGCAGTGTACGTAACAAAAGACTTTGGGGTTACCTCATTATAGAAATTTTGCAGAGGAAACTGTACTTGAATTTGAGGAAAATAATAGGACAATCAAAAAGCATCTCTCTTTTGCAGTCATTTCCCATTATTATAAACCAATAATGTGAGTTTCATTCATTGCCCTAATTTAGTGAGTTTATTCTCCTAGGAAACCTTGATTTACTTCCTTCTTACAAAGAACCTCTCTATATCTAAATCATGTTCCAATTGTATATCAAAAGTAGATGTAGAATTGTTTCTATCGCATATTGATTTTTCTCTTCCTTTGTAATCTGTTTGGTTCGACAGGATCCTTCCCTGAATCACAAAGCCTACAGAGATGCGTTCAAAAAGATGAAGCCACCAAAAATCCCTTTCATGCCCTTATTGCTTAAAGGTAACGATTTTCTATCTTTTATGCTATGTAAGCCCATCTTCCAGAAATTTATCACTCTAACTATGGAGGGCAAAAAAAAAAGGACTCTCAGTTTATTTCTTTACAGTAATTTTGACATATCAGACCTAGTCATGTTTGCTTGTGATTTTTAAAAATGTTCAATTATTTCTGAGATACCTAAAGAACTTAATTGTGTTTGAGAAGACATCAAAGCATTTTCACTTGACTTCAAAACATAGCCCTGGAAACTTTTGTGCTTTTATTTTACTCTGCTTCTAAGTGCTGTATTATTTTCTTTGAGTATACAATCCACCTAATTCAACCAAGAATAAGGTTGGCCTAAAAAAGAACCCAAACAGTGATCAATCATGCTCTATGTTTGCAACCTAAGTTTTCAGAGACACAGCCCCAAACCTGCTGCTGTGTGAGAAATAGCTCTGGTCAACGCAAGCAATACAGCGTATAGTAATTCTGTTCTATTGAGAACGTACTTTCTTCTTTCCAGGAGTGGAACGCAGTGGGAAAAGTATTTCACAGCTCCCAGTCAGTCCGCAAAAACATCAAATAATTCATCATGAAACATGTTAGTTAAATTTACTGATGAGATCTCAGTGGTCTGTCTTAAACCAAGGGGATTCTTGAAAGGGAAGTTCTTTTTTTTTTTTTTGTTTATTGTTTTAGTTTAAGTGAAAGTTCACATTTCAAGTTAGTCTCTCATACAAAAATTTATACATACACTGTAATGTGACCCTAACTGCTCTCCCTATACTGTGACAGCAAACTCCTCCTTTCCACCCCTGATTTCCCATGTCCGTTCAACCAGCTCCTAACCCTCTCTGCCTTCTCGTCTCACCTGTGGACAGAAGCTGCCCATTTAATCTCACGTATCTACTTGAGCTAAGAAGCACACTCTTCACAAGTGTCATTTTATGTCCCACAGTCCAGTCCAATCTTTGTCTGAAGAGTTGGCCTCAGGAATTGTTTTAGTTCTAGGTTGACAGAGAGTCCGGGGACCATGCTTTCTGGAGTTCCTCCAGTCTCAGTCAGACCATTAAGTCTGGTCTTTTTACTAGCATTTGAGTTCTGCACCCCACCTTTCTCCTGCTCCATCAGGGACTCTCTGTTGTGTTCCCTGTCCGGGTGGTCATTGGTGGTAGCCGGGCACCATCTAGTTCTTCTGGTCTCAGGCTGATAAAGTGTCTGGTTTACGTGGCCCTTTCTGTCAGTTGGGCTAATACTTTTCTTGTGTCTTTGGTGTTCTTCATTCTCCGTTACTCCAGGTGGTTGGGACCAATTGATGCATTTAGATGGCCACTTGCTAGCTTTTAAGACCTCAGACACCACTCACCAAAGTAGGATGCAGAATATTTTCTTAATAAACTTTGTTATGCCAATTGACCTAGATGTCCCCTGAAAGCATGGTCCCCAGACCCCTACCCCTGCTAATCTGTCCCTCAAATTGTTTGAATGTATTACAGGAAACTTCTTAGCTTTGGTTTAGTCCAGTTGTGCTGACTTCGCCTGTAGTGTGTGCTGTCCTTCCCTTCACCTGAGAGAATTCTTGTCTACTCTCTAGTGGGAAGTTCTTTTTAATGTGTACTATACTACTGACATTCAGTGGATAGCTTTATCTGTGTGTTTTCCGGAGTCCCTGGGTGGTGCAAACTGTTAACCCACTCCTCTCCTAACTGAAAGGTTGGAGGTTTGAGTCTACCCAGAGGCACCTGGGAAGAAAGGCCTGGCAATCCACTTCTAAAAAATCAGCCATTGAGAACCTAATGGAGCACAGTTCTACTCTGACACACATGAGGTCACTGTGAGTCGTGGTTGCCATGAGTCAGAATCGACTCAATGACAACTGGTTTTATGTGCTTTCTGGGGTGTAGGGATTTGGGCATTTTTCTTGACCGTATTTTGATCCTTCAAGGGATTTTATAGGAATATTCTTTTATCTAGCCTTTGCCCTTCAGAGGCCTCTAACTTCCACTGGAGTGGAATGGCCAAACCGTAAGTGTGATTCTAGAAAGAGTTGCTTAGGAACTGGATTGCTGGTTGACCTGACCCCCCACCCCCTCACCCAACCTCTGCCATTGGCAATAAAGCTGAGATTCCCTCTGCAGCTTCTCTCCAGAACAGCCTGAGCTTGGAGAATTATTTTGAGTTGATATGCATCCCTGTAGCTACTCATTTAGTCTTTATCTAACATCAAGTAAGAATCTCTGTGAAACAAGGATATAATATTGAGACAATTTAGAGAAGCACAGAATGCTTTGTTCAAGCCGAAAAGATTCTGTTAAATGTAAATGAATGAAATAAGGAGATGTCGCAGATCCAAAATAACAACTTAGAAGTACGTTTGGTTCTTCATATTTATTTGCTTTTAAGGTAAATTTATTCAGGATTATAATTTTTATTAGCAAATAAGACATCTCCAAAGGGGAGGGGGGAAGAGCCAGAAGAGGTAGGAAGTAACACTTAGAATCATTATCTGAATGATATCTAATAAAGTGGTACAATGGAAAATAAGGACAAATCTGGAAAAGGAATAAATTTTAGGAAGAAAAAATTTTGAAACAAATATTTTTAAGGTAATGAGAAATTAGTTGACATTGTCTATTTACCTTGATTACCTTGTTTTTCGCAAATAACCCATCTACATAAATAACACGCCCACACATATAACACACGACATAGCTTGCCTACAAAAATAGCGAGGGGGATTGCACAGTTGGCAAAAAACATATAATGCACATGTTATTTGCATAAAAATACGGTAGATAGGAGTGCAGCTTTCTGCTATAGGTTAGCGTTTTCCCCAAAAAATATTTATTGCAGTCAAGTGTCTCACACTTACATCTTAGCTTGTATGCAATTTTCTGCTCAGCTGACTTTTTGTGCACCTTACTGTTGGTAGGAAAAAAATTTTTCTGCTTTTTTCTACTGAAAATGCGTTCAGTCATTCTAAAAGAAAAAACAGTAAATTAAACATTTTTTTCATTAGAAGCCTTCACAAGTTTAAATAAGCACTTATTTTTTTATCTTAATTTTTTATCATTATAAAAATAAACATTAGTACTGTATATTTCATGCTGGAGATATAACATTTCGAAAAAAATTTTTAAGCATTACTATTTAGGTTTTTCTACTGCATAATTCTTTTTAAAATTACAATACATTGTTTTAGAGCAACTAGCTTGATGTTTAATGGAACCCTCCCCCGCGCCCCACAACTTTGGACTGCTTTTAATTAGAGCAATAGGACCAAATAATCAATTTTCAGTAAGCATACAAATTATCCAATAAGTGATAACCTGAGGATCCTTTCAGCCATCAGTTTTCAGATTGCTCTGTTAAAGTAATGAGAATTACCTTAGTTGAATTTCTTGCCTTTTGATTCATTCTCTCCCCTGCTGTGGTGTGGACTCTCGTTCAGAAAGTGATGAATGGGAGACCCTAAATAAGTGTTAGGGAAAGGTCCAGCCGAGCTAAAGGCTGGGGAAACCGTCAGGTCACAAGGAGCTGAGTAGTCTTTATTGTGTTGGAGGTGATGATAGCTTCCACTAGGGTGAATAATCAAGAGATGTTTGAAGATAAACTGGAGTCCTGGTGGTGGGTTGTGTATGTATCTTAGAGTGGAGATTATTGTTGAAGATTTGTGGGGAATATTTGAAGAAAAGGAAAGTTGGGATATTTGGGTGTTTCTTCACTTTTACTTGTGAGCCACTCCAAGGGTGTCATTTCATCCAAGGGTGTTATTTCATCCAGCAGTTCTCTTTTATGAGATGTTTGAAGTGTGTTCTGGTGTCTCCAGATGAAAGGGGTCTTGCAGGTGCTCATTTCCTGCACCCCAGATCTGGTCGTACCCTGAAACTGCTTTATCCCAACCCCATGACTTGAACTTTGAGATCTCAGTTTGTGAGCTCAACTGCTTATTCGTGTTTCTCTTTCTCTCCTTCTTCATGATACACCTGCCATTGAACTTCATCAAACCTTCAACCCCTTGGACACTTCCTCTTCTCTGTGCTGTAGTCCCTTCTCTGTGCTATAGTCCCTTCCCGCCTCTCTTTCCACCCCACCTAGCCCAGACATCATGGCCACACCTCCACTCCTAGTCGCCAGCACTCTGGGCACCTTCCCTCCCCTATCCTTCTATGAGAACCAGCCTGACAAGCCGACTCTTCCATAGAGCAGCTATCCACTGCCTGCTGACCTCAGCAAGGCCCTGAGAATTGAAGTTAAGAGGGACTACCCAGGAAGAGGAGAGACCTAAGGAGGGAGGGAATAGAGAGAGAGAGTGCTGAAGGAAGAACTTTACAAGCTTAAGAGGTACCTAATATGCCATTAATTTGCAAGCTGACTATAACTGGTAGTCAGAAATGTCCAGGTACCCTCAACATGAGGTGTCCGGAGAAGCCCCACATGAGAGCCTTCCTGGGTTTGAATCCTGGCTCTGACACTTAAGACTGTGTGAGCTTAGGCTAACTGCCACTGTCCTTTGGGCCATAGTTTCTCCAAATTCTTCCCTTCTAGGGTTTTACTTTCTCGGCTTTTGTGAGGATTAAACGAGTTAATGTAGGCAAAGCACTCAGCACCATCCCTGGCACCATTAATAAATGTAAGCTGTCATTATTGTCATCCTCCTCAGTATCATCTTCAAGAACATAGGCAGGGGGTGATAAACCTTGTAACCCTGGGGAAATGGACCAAGTGACATGGAGAGGAGTTTGGTAATCTGGAATTCTTGGTGAATCAGGAGAAGCCAGGCTTTTCGGTGGTGTTTAATGTAGATAGAGTGCACTTAGTGTTACATTTGCTGTACAAAAAAAGGTAAAAGCTAATAACTATGTTAACTACTCTTTCCTAAATAGTGTATCACAGAATGAAGCCTGTAATTATTTTCTGAAAGCAAAATTGTGAAAGATAATAAAATAACCAGAAGAGTTTGTCAGAAGACTGTAATTACTTGTGAATTGTTTTCCTATTAGGACATCAGTTTAAAAAAAAACAAACTCGTGAAAATGATGCAGTCCATGCTGAAAGCTATGCATAAGGGTTACCTTGGGGAGAGGTTGTATCATTGCATCCTGTAACAATGTAACTAGCATCACACCTCTGTAACTAGTGCCACACCTCAACGCTCTGAGGCCTCATGTTTTGTAGGCAGGTTTCAGTACAGGTACAAGGAACATGGAGCACTGATCTCACGATCGCAGGAAACGGCAGAATAAAGGTCTTCATTAAATGCGGATGCTTTCGCTTTCTGTTCGTAGGGATTTTAAGTTGCTTCTTTTCTATCAAGTTAAGAAATATTTTCCCTTTTTATTTATAGGAGCTTTAAGCTGTTCTTTTCTCTCTTTTCTGGAAGGTTATTTTAACAAGATTTTTGAAAATTATTTTTGTTTTGGTTGACCCTTCATGTCTGTGATGCAACGTGATTACTTGCACGTTCTTTAAATTGCATTATATTCTTATTCTGAACTTGTGTCTGTGCTGTCACTGACCCTTCAGTCTGTCCGATTTTTTTGTGTTAGCTACTCTCAGAGCTTCAGCTGCTATCTTTAACATAACAAACTGCCAAATCTATTTCTCTCCAGAAGGCACTTCTATGTTTATGGCAGCCAAAAGGAGATTTTCATTTAAGTATCTTCTGTCACTTTAAATGCAGTGAATTCCAAACCAAACTTAACTTTATCTTCCTCCAAAAATGCAGGGTCATCCTTCTTTCGTTGTTTTATTTTCATCAGTGATGCTTGCTTTCTGCCAGTCGAATAGGCCCAGAAATCTTGTTATTTTCAAATCTTCCTTTTCCCTCTCCCACTTCTGACTTTGGGAACTAAAACGCTAAGTCTTAATCTTCTAAGTAAAGCAGATCCCATACACTTTGCCCAGGGAGTTTTAAAAAGTAAACATCTGAATATTAAAACCTTGTTGTTTCTGGGTATTCAGTTTTGGGTTTTTTTTTTTTTTTCTGCTCATTGTTTTGGCCTAAAAACATAAGGGACCAGTTAAATTTTGGAATAGTGTTAGCTTATATTAAGCAGGTTAAAGTCATACACTTCACTGTGAGTGCAAAATGTACACTTTCACTGTTTTTCCCCCATACACATAAATTATGCAGGTTCATAATGAATACTATACAGACTCAATTTCTGGTTGCCTTGCCAATGCATGGAATGATCCATAAGTATTATTTACTATTTAAGAAAAATTAATAAGTTGCATTGTGTCTCAGCTCTTCAGTGCCGATGCACGATCTGTTCCTAACATTTCACGTGTCTTTTAATTTTCAGATGTAACATTTATTCATGAAGGAAATAAAACATTTTTGGATAATCTCGTCAATTTTGAAAAGCTGGTATGTCAATTTCATTAATTTTCTTTTCTTCTTCTGTAGCAGAACTGTATGCTCTCCTTTCCTGCTCCAGGGAACAAATGGTTTAAATCTTTTTCTCCATTGAACGTATGATTTCCAGGCGCTTATTTGTTGCATTTTGTGAATTGTCAATAAAATGTGTTCCAATTAAAAATAAGTATGCTAGCAAGGTTTTGAGAACCAAATAGTATTGCACACTAAAATGAATATCTGTCTTTTATTTTTAAAAACAAAACTTAATTGGATTAACATCGGTGGGTTGACTGTATATTATTGAGCTAGAAATAAAACCATCATGTTCCTGTCAGAAGGAATTCACATTCCTGAGGTTAAGTTATACTGCTTTAAAGGCACAAGTCTCTGTTCCATCATGTACCGCTTCAGAGGCACAGGAGGGAGAAAGATCTCTTTTTTGGGAGGTAGAGTCTGTCTCCCAATACTCCAAGCTTCGATGTGATGGTGGAATTTGTAGAATCTGTGCATGAGGGGAAGGTCCTTGGGTGGCACAAACTGTTTGCTGTCAACTACTAACTTTAAGGTTGGTGGTTCAAACTCACCCAGCAGCCCCATGGAAGAAAGACCTGGCAGTCTGCTTCCATAAAAGTTGTTGTTGGTTGTCATCTGGTGGATTCTGACTCATGGTGATCGCATGTGTGCAAAGTAGAACTGCTCCATAGGGTTTTCATGGCTGTGCCCTTTCAGAAGCAGATTGCCAGGCTTACTTGCAGGCATCTCTGGGTGGGTTTGAATCACCAACCCTCCAGCTAGGAGTCAAGTGCTTAACCATTGTGCTTCCCAGGGACTTCACCGTAAAGATTACAGCGAAGAAAACCATATGGAGCAGGGTAACACGTGGGTTGTCGTGAGTCGGAGTCAACTCATGGCAGCGGGTTTGATTTGTGTGTGTGTGTGTGTGTGTGTGTTTGGTACATGAGAGGCAAGGCTACCCTCCTCCCCCTTAGCCTGTGGACAGGCAGGGCCACTTCCAAACACTGCAGACAGAGTAGCTCTGACAAAGTGCCGGTCTCTGCTAATCAATAGAGGTCCCCTGGTCATCTTCTCTTATAAGTTGCTGAAATGGCCCTTTCTAAATTATCTGTAGGACACTCCCTGGTGCTCTGTCGTGCAGTGGGCTCCTCCAAGCCTTTCTGACCTGTAGTTGGGCAGAGAAGAGTTCCCTGTAAGAACTGAGCAGCTGTAAAAAATAATATTCAAAAGAGACCCGAACTAGCTACCAGAGGGACGAATTTGTCTGACAGATGAACTTTAGTGTCATAGATTAAACTGTCCTTCATGGTTAAAGATGGTTTCAGTGACCCCTGTCTGTAGATCATGACCTTTGAGTGACCTTTTCAGTAACGGTAATGGATTTGTGTAAACTCTTTCATGAACTGAACCCCAGCTCCCTGTGTGACTGGCTGAGACATTTGAGAGAAGGTTGAGTGAGCAGGGGCTGCAGCCCATGACCAAAGAGCAGTGCAAACTGATGAGTCCAAATGAGGGCTAGAGTCTGACCTCTGCCTCATGAGTGCTCAGCTGTAATCATCAGGCTAACTCAGCCACACAGGATGAGGCAGAAAGATGACTGTGCTGTCAACTCTTGTACAACTCGAAAACTCAAGCACCTGGAATCTGAAAGACGGATGTCTCAAGATATCCTGTCATAGCTCCATTTTAATGACTCTGAGGATTTTAAATTCTCTTCTGCACTAAATCTTTGGAATCAGAACCAAGATATTTTCAGATGCTTCAGTCGAACAAACACAGCAGGAAATGAATATTTAAAATGTTAATTTTTTTGTATTTACTCTTTAAGGATTTGTTCTGTGTTAATTGATACAATGTTCTTAAGATCACAGGGCACCTGTTTGCAGCCAAAAGCTGTAGGCACTAAAATTCTAGGCTCTAAGCGGGTTAATCTTCAGTGTTTGGTATTAATGAAGTGATTACAGGAATATGAAGCCTTTGGTCAATATTCTCTTAGTGTCCCGGTCAATACATATGGTTCAGATAGCTTTATAGCGTATGTATAAAGAGATGAAACGAGATTTATCATGCCAAGTAGAATTCTCTGTAAAGGTCTAGTAATTTTTTACCTCTGACTAACCCAGAGGGGACATAAGAACAATTGTACTCTTTATAAACTGACCGTTGTCCGTTGTTAAGGGTGGTTGACCTTTTCCCTAAAGTAAACTGCTAGTTTGGTTAAGTTCATTGTGTCGTTTCCTCTCAGATTGTTTCACCAAAGTGAGAGAACAATTTCATCAGCACAAATGGGGAAGAACAGTGGAACGATCCCTATCCCTTCTCTCTTTTTATTCTAACTAGCCATCTGTGATCCTCCCATGCCTTCCTCTAACAATCCAGCAGAAGTCCTTTTAATACCAGCTAATGTCATCTATAAGGAGCCCTGGTGGCACAGTGGTTAAGCACTTGGCTGCTAACTGAAATGCCGGTGGTTCGAACCCACCAGCCGCACTGTGGGGGAAAGATGTGGTAGCCTGCTTCCATAAAGATTGGAAACCCTATGGGGCAGCTCCACTCTGTCCTGTACAGTTGTTATGAGTTAGAATCAACTCAACAACAATAGGTTTGGGTGTAATGTCATCGTCTATAGATGGCACATATGAGTCGGAGTTGACTCGAGGACATATAACAACAATGTAGTCTATGGTCTTGCTTTTATACATGCCAAGACTTCAAGCTAACCATAGGGAATAAAACAAAGTCTAAATAAAAGTACTTCTGTTAGGAACACGAATTGTTTGTATCCTTAGTTCTTTAAGAAAGTTTAAGGAAATAGCGTGGCATAAAATAAGTATTATTCTATTTTAAAGGTTTAAATTCCTAAAGAAAACTTTTATTAAAGAGATGGCTAGAAAATGGGTGCAATTATACATACACACAACAGACCCTTAGCACACAGGCTCCAGGCCACCAAGTGGTTACTAGCACAGTAGTTTCTAATAAGAGCTGACTTCTATAGGACTAAGGACCTGGTGTTCAGGGAAGATGGCACTTAAGACATAGTGTGACTCATGCTGACCCCCTCCTTTGCATGGAGAAGAAAGGGTGAAGTCAGAAGCTTTTCCAGAGGGACAAAAACCAGCTTTATGTTGTATAAGCCCTGTACCTAGATGCCAGAGAATGAAACTGACCTTCCTAGTAGAGTTGGCATTTTCAAGGAATGTTTTTCAGCAAAGCCAGGGTTTCACTTACACTGAAGCCTCATCTTTCACTATAATGAGCCAATAGAACCTAAACGAATTAACTTGTGAGAAGCGAGTTTCTCTTGATGGATATTAGCTTGAGCCAGCTAGTAGATAATTCAGTGTATTGCCTTTATCTGGCCAATACGGGCCAACACATTAAGTCGAACTGCATGGAGACCCAGAAATGGTCGCTGGATCTAATAAGATTTCCTTTGTTCCCAATGCCAAGTTCCTTGCTGCATTAGCAGCTCTAAATGTTTCAGTGTCAAACTATTAAATAGTGAAGAAAAAATGCTTTTGTTTCTTCTCTTCATCTTTCAGCGTTAAGAGCATCATCTTTTACCAGATTCCTCCCTTCCCCTTCAGGAAACCTAAAGATGAGGATCAGGACTTGGGTATCAATGCTGCACTGAGCCTTGCATCAGTTCTGAGCTACACAAATGGCACATGATAGAAATCAATGTGATGCTATAGCTTAAAACCAAGAGAAAATTATGCTGGGAATACTGGTAAAATTTGGGGAAGGAAATTTAACAATACACTCACAGACATGAGTCAGGTCTCATTTCCTTTACAAATGCAACTTGAGCTACTGCTAGAATCAGTGTTCTATTTAATTTTCCACTTGTGAACAATTTAATCAGTAGGTCATATTCAAGTAATATTTCTGTGGTTCTGTTGGATTTTAAGTAGCTTTTTTTGGTGGTAAAAATTATTCTTACAGCAATAATTCACTGATGCATTGTGGGTTTGCTGTAGCAAGATGATCCTCTGTTCAGTGTGGGCTGGCAGGACATGAAAGATCATGACCCATTGTGGGGTTTGGAGTCTCAGCTAATGAATGATGTGGATTTTAAAAAAAAAATTGCGATAAAACATATATACCATAAATTTGGCATTGTAACCATTTTTTTTATTGTTGTAATTAAATGAAGTTTACATTTCAAGTTAGTCTCCCATACAGAATTTTTTTTTTTTTACATACGTTTTTATGAGACCCCAACCGCTCACCCCATTCTGCGACAGCACACTCCTTCCCTCCGCCCCAGATTCCCCGTGAACATTCAACAAGCTCCTAACTCTCTCTGCCTTCCCATCTCACCTCTGGACAGAAGCCACCCCTTTAGTCTCTTGTATCTACTTGTCTAAGAGGCACATTCTTCACAAGTATCACTTTATGTCCCACAGTCCAGTCCAATCCCTGTCTGAAGAGTTGGCCTTGGAAATTGTTTTAGTTCTGGGGTGATGGAGAGACCAGGGGCCATGCTTTCCGGGGCACCTCCAGTCTTAGTCAGACCATTAAGTCTGGTCTTCTTACTAGAATTTGAGTTCTGCATCCCATCGTTCTACTGCTCCATCAGGGACTCTCTGTTGTGTTCCCCTGTCAGGACGTTCATTGGTGGTAGCCGGGCACCATCTAGTTCTGGTCTCAGGCTGATGAAGTCTCTGGTTTATGTGGCCCATTCTGTCTCTTGGGCCAATACTTTCCTGTGTTCTTCGTTCTCCTTTACTCCAAGTGGTTGGGACCAATTGATGCATCTTCGATGGCCACTTGCAAGCTTTTAAGACCCCAGACGCCACTCACCAAAGTAGGATGCAGAACATTTTCTTAATAAGCTTTGTTACATTGTAACCATTTTTAAGTGTACAATTCAGTGGCTTTAAGTACGTTCACAATGCTGTACAACCTTCACCATGATCTACTTCTAAACTTTTTATCACCCTAGCCAGAAGCTCTGTACCATTATGATGTTTGAATTTTGATGTGAAACAAAGTAGGAGTTACTGTAGATTCTGTAGGAAGAGCTGTAATGGAGAACGGAGCCCCTGGGTAGTACAAATGGTTAACATGCTCAGCAGCTGACTGAAAGGTCGGAGGATCAAGTCTACCCAGAAGCACCTGGGAGGAAAGGTCTAGCGATCTACTTCGGAAAAATTCGCGATTGAAAACCCTATGGAGTATAATTCTTCTCTGACACATATGGGGTTGCCATGAGTCAGAGTCACCTGGTACTGGTAGGGGAGAATTGTCTCTTCCTAAATTCTGTGTTTCCTTCATGGAAAACTAAGACATGGACAAATGAGACAGGAGACTATTGCTGCTACACGAGTATGAGGTGATAGGCGCCTGTCAAAAGCAGCTGAAAGTTTAAGAAGTCTTTGCCTGGTGATCAGTGAGACTTTTAAAGAAAGAAATTGAAGTAGAATACTGAAGACTGTCGGAAGGAATGTAAATTAGAAACAGAAACGTGTCTGTAGAGATATTGATGTTTTAAAAAATGTTCATGTTTCATAAATATCTCCTTTCTTGTCACCATTTGAGATACTTGAGTCTTTGATTCCACAAAAATTAAATATGTAGGAAGTTTATGAGTGTGATATGTGGTAGGTGCTGGGCATGCGAAGCTCTCGGACAGCATCTGGTCTACAAGTGGAGAAAATTTCAACAGCAATTACAACAACACAAAAACAATATACGTAGTACAAAGAGAAGTGAGAATGTTGAAAACAGAGCCTCCCAAATTGAAATGGGAGAACTCAGAAAGGCTTCATGAAGAGAAGGTGACACATGGCCTGAAGAGAAAAGCATAAGGAAATTTGTGATGCGAAGATTGGGGGTGGGGTACTGCATTTGATTGCAATAAGTTTCCCCATGGCTCGGTCAGCGTCTGTACAACCAGGGAGTCACTGTTTCTGCAGGCGAGGACCAAACATTCTTTGTAACCTAAACTCAATATAATCAATTCAAGTTATATCCAGTTCCAAATATAGCTCTTCTATTTGCATCCAAAGGTATTAGACTATCCATCCATCCTAGCGGACACTCCTACTTCAGTGGTACCCCAAATGACCCTTCCATTGATACCTTTCCTGTTCTACCTTCCAGCATATGATCGCAGACACTGTCCGAACCCTGAGACACTGCAGGACTAACCAGTTTGGTGAGTAATAGAAGTCAAGTGTGAAATGTAAATTTAGTATACATTGCTACAGACTGTGACCATATCACAAGTATTTGGTGGTAATAAATGTAAACAGATTGTAAAGTATAATATGCAGGTAACTTTGCAGTTTGTATGCATGTAATATAGTCTGCTATTTCATTACTGCATGTGTCGGATTCAGAGAAAGGCAAGATGTGTCAGATTTTCATCCACTCAATGGCAGCAAGTTTACACTGTACAGAGAAGATCCCCACCCCATCTTTGACCCCCGAAAGTCTTGCTTTGCTTGTCCATTGGTTCATAATTACTGGTGGGTTTATCAGGGATAGCCATGACCCCAACCTCCTTGTTTGAAGCCTTCCTGGAATAGGACTATAGTTTGTAAAAGTGCTTAAAGCACCTTCCAGAATATTTTCTCCTCTCCAACAAAAACTTCCTGTCTGAAGCTGCCTTTCAGCTGAAAAGGCATTTTTCTGAGCATTTTCATAGAATCCCCACTGAGACTAATGTATGTAAGAATATTTGTTCCTTTTTAAATCTCAGGCATTGTTTACACTATGTTTAAATGGTGTTAGAACATTGCCAGAAGGAAGGAAATCAGCTTTATTGAGTGCAAGAAGCTTTCACATGGGCGATGGGATACCAGTCCTAGTGAAGGGATATTATTAACCCTGTCAGTACAGAGCAGAAAGCTGGGGCTCAGAGAGGTTAACTCATTCACCTAGTAGCTGGCAGAGTTAGGATTCAAACCAAGTTTACCTGATATCCTTGACCATACCGTTTCTTTGCCCTGTGCCGATTCTATCCATATAAAGAGCAACTAAAAACAGAAAAGAAAACTGACTTCAGTAATTATAGATCAATCAGGTGACCCTTAAGTAAAATTTAGTTTATTAATTAATACATCCTAATTGTAAAACAATTTTTTTCAGCAATACAGAAGTGTATATAAAGTAGGAAATCAAAGTCCTACTTCCTAAAAAAGTACTATTAACAATTTGGTGCATATGCTTCAGAATTTGTTTTTATTCACTGGCTAATCTTGAATGGCAGTATTGTCCCCAACAAAGCAAGTTAGGAGCTGAACTTCTGTATGGATTACAGTTTCTGTTTGAAAGGGGGACTTATAAATACAAGACCTAATTTTCTAAATATTCGCATCAATGAATACCATTCATATGTACTTATATAATTCTCCACCAAGTGTACAAATACAATGCTGTTATAATAGAAACAGCAATGATAACCGTTTCTCTTATAAATGGAGATTCATTCAAATGTACAAGCATAATTTTGCCAAAGAGTATGGCTTCATATTTCTCTCAACCTCCTTTGCTTCCCAAGTATTTACTTGACACTCAGCTAATTCCAAGACACAAGTCTCACTTAACAATGTTACCTACATGGAACCTCTCAGTCACCAGAAAGTAAGCATAACATAAAGCAAAGAAGGAATTTAAATAACTGTCAGGCCTGTTTGTGTTCTAATATTTATATATGTCTTTAAAAATTGGATTTGGGACTGAACTGTCTAAATTCATTATGACAGTTTATATAGCATAGTAAACCATTTGGCATACGATAAGTTAATGTTTATCAAGCCATTTGTAATTTATATAGTGCCATGCAAGTGCCAGTTGTCATGGTTGGAATCATTCATTCTGCTATCATTTTAAGGCCTGAAAATTAACAACAAAATTATTGTAATATAGCGTTTTCTAAACCATTGTTTGCTAATCCAAAAGCAGTCTCTCAATGTCTTCCAGAGAAGATATTCAAAAATCTAGAATCATACAGCTTTTTGGTCACTTCCAAACAAGTGGAGTGGTAAAAATTTTGTTTGACTCCTGGTACGTGTATTTGCTGAAACCAACAAGCTTTGTTTCCATTAAACCTAAGAGTTACAAGCCACCCATGACATACAAGCCTTAAGTTAATTTCCTCATAAAACCCATTTGTCATAAGGGAGGGGAAAAAAAGGGGGTTTCACCAAGAGAACAGTACTGCATTAAAATGCTGAACCTCCTGTGGCCCCTTTCTAAAGATAGTATTCCTTCTTTCTGCTAAAGCTGAACCCTAATCTCCCCCTAGCCCTGTCCCATCTATAATTCCATGAAAGCAAGCAGATGTGACATCACCATGACTCATTTTGACACTGTCATGCTATAGCACAATTTAGCCAATCTCCCCGAGCCTGGAATTTTTGTTTCGTTTATTTGTTTTTGACTATGGGAAGTGGGCTTATGCCATTGTCCAGGCCACTTTATCTCTGCCCCCTTATCAGAGTTGTCACCAGCATGGCACATACATGTTCACAGTGCACTAAAGCCTCTTATGGTCCTTCCAGTTCTTTGACCGCCTTTCCAATTCTTTGAACCACCTTTCCTGTGTCGATCTTAGCCCATACACATACTTTGCCTATTAGCCATATTCTAATTTCTGTTCTGTGAAATCTGGTCATTCAATCGATCCCTTAAATTTTCTTTTCCAAAAAATAAGGACAGCAAAGATTATACAAAGTATAAAATGATAAGGGCTATTGTGTTCATTTGCTTAACAGGTTAGCAGTGATTTCTGACAATTCCAGGTTGACATAAAAGAGCCAGTGCAGGCCATTTAAATGGGCAATTGCTATGAAAGGCTGCAGAGCATGGAAGCTCAGACCATGGTCTTGGGAGTCAGATGTCCTGAGTTCAAATCCTAGCTCTGCCACTTACTTGCTGTGGGACTGTGCTAAGTTTCCTGGTCTGTAGAGTAGAATAATAACATAATTACTAAATATTGCATAATGTTAACTAGTAATAAATGCTATATGACTGATATCTGTCATCTAATTAACTCACACAGTCTGAACTGAAAAAGCATTGCTACTGTAGGACTAAGATATCTCTTCTGGGATTCTGACCTTGTAGCTTTACTCCTAATGTGGGGTTTTACTGGCATTTAGAAATGCCATCATTGCTCTCATGATATTAATTGTCTTTCTTTCCTACAAATATTAGGAGGTGATGTGTCTCCAAAAGAGCATCAAGAGCTGAAATCTTACGTTAATCACCTGTATGTCATTGACAGCCAGCAGGCCCTGTTTGAGCTCTCGCACAGGATCGAGCCTCGGGTGTGAGCCCCACTGCCTCACCTCCCCTGTAACTGCAGCACTTTGAGCTACGGGAATGCCTATGCCAAGCACGTTGCTTTGCTGTGAGAAGAGAAGTTGCTGAGTTTTATCAGCATATCACAAGACAGACACAGGAAGCCAACCCAGGCGTGTTCAGGAGGTGACGTCAGCCACCAGAGCTGGGGAGAGGCCTCTCCACACTACCCTAGGAGCAAGAAGGCAGAAAGAGAATTAGCAGTATTCTTGAGATGGAGAAGCCTGGCTTCTTGTGATAACATTGTTGATCCAATCCAATTTTCAGTTGGTAAGATGTGCCCGTGCCAAGACAAGAGAACATGTCTTGTCACACGTCACACAATGACCAAACACTTCCGTAAGAACGTGCATGGAGCAGGGAGGAGTTTTACTTTGCCTGGCAGTAGGTTACTGCGTCTAGGCTGTCAAAGAAGTAGTTCTCTGGAACATCTCAAAACAGTGGTGGCATCTCTAGATTCCCAGGGAGAAGCAAGGTCTCCATTGTTACAAACAGTGACATCACCAAAAGCCACTGTGTCTAGGGAGTTAGTGTGGACCAGCAGCTAGCATCCACGTACTGATTTCCAGATGAGAAATGTCAAGGCATGCATTTCTGTGCATCTACAATCACTCATCGATGTATGCTTGCAAGTGAAATTAGTTTTCTGCACAACTGATTTGCAACTATAGGCAAGTCAGACTAAGTTGCTTTGCCAATAAGGAAAAGTAGTGATCATTAAGAAATTGTCTCATTTAATTTCTGGAAATTTTCTTCACATTTGTAAGCAGACTCCAATCTCTTATTGGGTACAATATAATTTTGGAAAAAGCACAACAACTGACACATAGTAAGCACTCAGTAAATGTTTCTTGAGGTGACAGAGAGTCACAAAGGTCTGTGTTCCTATGCCTGACAATGTTTTGCATACCTCAGGCAGGCCCCTGGCCCACTGTATGTGAGTGATAACAGCCAGGACAGGCAAGTTAATAGAGACCTAATGTGTGAAGCACTTAGCACTCCCTAGAAAAGAGCAAGACAATATGATAGTGGTGATTACCAGCCTTTCATCAAATGAAAAGAGCCCTGGACTATTCAAATGTCAGATTTGTGTTGGAGACTCAGAAGTACTGTAGTCCACCTCCAACCAAAGCAGGAAACCTTTCTATAATTCATCTTGTTTTTGTTCAAGGTCTCAAGGTCTTCTTTTTTTATTCCCTTTTTAGTAGGTTGGGGCTCCAACAGTAAATAAGATCACTTGCTATTCTCCAAAACTGGTTAGAGGATCTTCCTCAGCCTTCGAATGATCAAAAAGGCTTGTGGGATAAAATAATGAAATATACCCCTGCCAGCTTATACTTGTCACTTTGCTGAAATACAAGGGCCCTGCTTCATGTACTAGGCGTGCTCATTTCCCACACATGTGCATCTTGGTGAGCTGCTCACCGCTCGTGCCTCTTCATCTCCTTGATGCCCACGCGGGACCGTTTCCTTGTTGTCTCATCACCACCTCATTCATCCTCATGACGGAGGTGTGCCCAATGCATCCTGACACCTTTATAGCAGTGCTATTTCCTGGGCTCAGGAACCACACCAACCTTGAGATATCACCAGAGAACCCATGGGGAGGCAATTGTGGGTAGGACTTTAAGAGATGCAGCCTGGCCAAATATATAAAACTTCAGTCCTGAAAATTTATAGGGTTTTATAGAAAAGGAAGGCTGGTTCACTCCATGGTAACAGAATGAGACCCACTGGAGGGGAACAGAGTCATCAGAACCAGGGAGAACAAACTCCCCTCAAGGTGATCTAACTCAAAAAGCTCTCTCCTCAGTGATTACCCAGGGTAGCACAGGCTTACGGTGAAGGTAGGTGTTCTTTCTCTATGCTAGAAAGTAGGATTTGGCCAGTCTACTCATAAAAGGCCATGTTGACATTGTCTCTATGTTTTACAATTTAAATTATTTTTCAAATTAGACCTACATTGCTCCAACCGGAACATTACCTCTAGAGGACTCATTTTCAGTGGAGAGGGACTTCAGCACAGTGCCTGCTTCAAAGGCCCCATTCAGATACATACACTTGGCCAAGTGAAGTCACACACACATTGCGTTTAGACACATTTTATATGGTGTATTCAGGGTATCCTGTTTGCATGGGTGTGAACAGGCTGGGGAGAAAGTGGTGCTTGTCCACCTCCTCTAGCCATGGGCAGCAAAGGAAAGGGGAATTATCTTTAGTTTAGATTTGCTTTTCTATCCCTGTCTTCTGAATATCAGAATCCTCAAACCTTTCTGAAATATAACTGCCTCCAGAGACTTCCCAGGCAGGGACACTCAGAAGCTTTGAGAAAACTTAAATCAGCATGAAGCTCCTTCTAACAAATTGGAGCTGCGCTACAGTGAGCATCCACCATAGAACTCAGAGGGCTTCCTACTAATGGAGATGGGCCTGTCCCCTCTCCAGGTATTTGCCAAGGCCTCTTTGGGACAGATTCTTGCTCTGGCCAGAAGGGTGGGCTGAAGATGTCTAAGCTTATTGTTAGACATAACAAAGTCTCCCTTCACTCTGAAAGTCTTATGTAGTCTGCCCACTTCAGTGGATGAGGCACAGGCACTTCTAAGTGGGTTCTTTTTGTCACAGCACAACCAGCACAACTCGGACAGATCTGTGGGTCTCTGGGTTCATCAGCATTCCAGCCCAACAGCCCTGCTTAGACGTTAGCACAGGACAACAAAACACAGGTTCCTGTAGACAAAACAGCAACCTACCCAGATTTTTTTTTACATGCACGTTTGCAGATGATCCAAAGACTACAGTGTTTTAAATTCACTGTTTGTTATAATCTGTATAATTGCCAAATAGTTGTAGTGATAAATATGACCTGCATTCACTTTATTCTGGTATCGTTAATTATGTTTAGAATAGCTCCCTTTTCTGAGCCCCTATCCACAATTAAGAAGGGTGGAGCATACTTTGAATTTGGAAGCATGAGGGTAAAGTAAAAACCACACCCCCAGTTTAGTGGGGAGAAGATGTTGCACTAATAAGGACGCACCCCTGAGTAGGGGAGAGGGTTGTATGAGAGAGCGCAGGTGACTTCTAATCCCTGGAGCCGGGCTTTTCCTGCTGCCCCGATCCTCAGCCCCACAGTTATAGCCATCATGCAGACTACAGATCTCAAACCAAGTGTTCCTAAATGGCACAACCAATCCAAGCTTCTCAAAAACCAGGCAAAATGCTTAAAATTGGGGCGATCGGGTCCACTGTAGTTGTCCAACATGGGGTTGCTTTGGAATGCTTCAAAGACATGTCCTTAAAATTTCAGCCTGCTTATTAGTGAGTGGGCCAGTTCTTAAAACTGGTAGGAGAGAAAAGAGTTTTTTTAAAAATTGCCAAAAAGTTAGATGAAAATGTATTACTGTATAAAGCAAAGCTGTATATACTAAACATTTTTTAGCAGAGTGATATTTATTTGCATAGCCTATTTATTGTATTCGTATTACACTGTTATTAAATACTGGAATGAAATCAATGACCTGAAGCAAGGAACCTTGCCTTTTAAATGTATCATTAATTAGGACTGCTGTGACATTGCCAGCTTGCATTAACAATTAGAAGATAGAAAGCCCGCAATCAGGGTGTCTACCTAACTTCTCAGGGACTACACTTTGTAGTTTTCCACCATTAGAAGAGCTGGTAAATATGAAACACTTGTTGAATTACCAGAATTGCCATTAACAGTGTTTTCCTTCTCATATTTCATGCTTCCTGCCTCTGTATATATGACTGTGCTGTGTATTTATCGAAGCTAGTAAGCAATAATTTATATGTAAAAATGGCCAAGCAATATAAGGTTAAAACTTATATAAGTAACTGTTACTTTATCTTGTATTTTCAAGTGTTTTTTAAAACTGCTTTTCCAAATATATGTTAAAGGTACTATTAATGTCTCATACGACTTACTTTTTCCATGATGTGTGTGTGGGTTAAATCGTCTTTATTCTAATGGATTGGAACTTGGGAATCATTTGTTCACTGAAGGAGCTAAGATAGGTGAAGAGGTTTAGAGGTAGCCCGCAGAAGGCTAAGTAACTTATGATGCCAGTGAATCGTTGCACATAATATACTGGAAATCTTCTTAAGTGATCTCATATTCTGGGATTTGGGGAATATAACAACCACTGTTATAGCCTAGCCTCACTCTAATAGGACCAGGAACTCTCCCTTTCTAATGAACCGAGACACTGAAGAAGCTCCAAGTTCCTGTTGGTGATGCCGTTGCCTGGAATAGAGGCCCCAGCATAGGAAGAGCTACAGGCAGGATGCAGGGGGCTGAGGGATAATAACAATGCTCTGGGGAGGTGGGAAGACTAGCTGTATATACATCTAAGGTGAAAGATTCTGTGGTGGATTGTATTACTGTTGAAAATATTCTCTGCCCTCCCCCGGAGAGGATTACGCCTCCTGCCCATTGATGTGAAGCTTGGTCATTTGGCGTGTAATAACTCCTTTCTGCAGGAGGAGTATGTATATCACCATGTCCAAGAAAAAATGGGGAGACATGGCCTGTGCCACTTCTTGGAGTTTAAGTTTCTTGGCTGTATAGATTATGTATAGATAAATGTTTTTCATCAAGTTTGGGAAGTTTTCAGTCATTATATCTTCAAGTACTCTTTTGGCCCCTTTCTATCTCTTTATTAATATTCTCAGAGCCCTCATGGCAGTGGTTAAGTACTAGGCTGCTAACCAAAAGGTCTGCGGTTTGAACCCACCAGCCGCTCCACAGGAGAAAGATGTGGCAGTCTGCTTCCATAAAGATTACAGCCTTGGAAACCCTATGGGGTAGTTCTACTCTGTCGTATAGGGTCGTTATGAGTCAGAATAGACTCGACAGCAAGGAGGATTAATATTCTCATTTTGGTGAGACATAATTTTCACACTTCCATTCTTCCTTTAGTTCATTAAACATAAATAGCTGATTTAAAATCTTTGTCTATAAACGCCAACGCCTGGTCTTCCTCAGGCACAATTTCTGTTGATTTATTTTTTTTCCTGTGTAAGGGCCATAGTTCTTTCTTTGCATGCCTTGTAATTTCTGTTGAAAACAAAACTGGACATTTTTAGTATTATAATGTGGCAGCTATGGAAATCAGATTCTTTCCTGTCCTCAGGATTTGTTGTTTTGGCTGTTGTTTGTAGTTGATGTTTATTTGTTTAGTATGTTTTTCTCAACTAATTCTGTAAAATCTATATACTTTGTCTTGTGTGGCCCCTGAAGTCTCTGTTGCTTTAGCTTTGTCAAAGCGCAAAATTAAGCACAGACTCTGTAAATAGAGAACAATAGAGCTTTACTGAGGAATGAATAGAAAGCGTCAAACCGATCGGCACAAAGCATAAGTGTAAAGTGCTCCAAAGGGTTAGGTAGAGAGTGATTTTTATATACAATTTAGAGGAACAAAAAAAATCTTTCTTTACATCAGTTATCTATTTTAACATTCTTTCCGAGAACAATCTGTGCAAGCAATCTTTCAAAACAGAGTCACAAGGCCCCCTCCCTAGGTAACATTTCGCATTATGTTTAACCATGTCTTAGTCATCTAGTGCTGCTATAACAATACCACAGGCGAATGGCTTTAACAAAGAGAAGTTTATTCTCACAGTTCAGTAGGCTACAAGTCCAAATTCAGGGTGTCAGCTCCAAGGGAACCCTTTCTCTGTCGGCTCTGGAGGAAGGTCCATGTCATCAATCTGGTCTTAGTATGAGAGCATCTCTGTGCAGGAACCTCCGGTCCAAAGGGCGCCCTCTGCTTCCAGCACTGCTTTCTTGGTGGTGTGAGGTTCCCATGTTTCTCTGCTTGCTTCTCTCTTTTATATCTCAAAAGAGATTGCTTAAGACACTATCCAATCTTATAGACCTCATCAGTATAACCTCATCATAGCGACAGAGTTTACAACACATAAAGGAAATCACATATAACCTCATCACAGTCATAGAGTTTACAACACATAAGGAAATCACTTCAGATTACAAAATGGTACACAATCATACAATACTGGGAATCATGACCCAGCCAAGTTGATAGATACTTTTGGGGGACACAATTCAATCCATGGCAAACTACATTCTTGATCCCTCCTTGATTGCTCAAGGGTGAGGGGTAATTAAAACTTTACAAGAGTGGAAAATTCCACACATAGTCCAAAAGCGAAGTGGAGGTCAGGAGCAAAATGGAATCTGATTTGAACCTGTGTCAGCCACCTTAGTTATGCCAAGTGCCTTATATTTTTATGAATCTCCATAGCGATTCCTTGATCACTATTATAAGAGTGTTTTCTTCTGCATGGTCATTGTACAGAGTGGTTTTTGTTCATAGATTAAAATCATCTTCCATTTCTTCACCGTGCCATAGCTCAGACGCTGTGCTTCTGTGATCCACTAGGCAAAGTTACTGTAGAGGTGGCCACAGTAGGAGGAACAACTTAACTGAAGGGCCAACTCAAGGTGTGAAAGTAATCTCTAAAGATTCAAGATACATAATCCTCTGCACAAAGAATGGTGGACTTGTGGCAAGCATTAGGCAGACATTTCATAAAGCATTTGATTATTCCTATAACAATGATTACTATGATTAAAATGATTAGGCCAGTTTGTAATAGATAATGCAGCCAAGAACCAATACCAGTCAGTAACCAGTTAAAGATATCTAGGAAGGAGAATCAGGCATAGGAGGTATTGAATGTAACTATGTAGCCTGTTGCTAAATTTTTCTGATGTCTTCTTGTACTTCTCCTGTGTTGTTAATCCAGGCATAACAGGAGGTATTGGCGATAACACAAACTGAGGAAATCGAGAACTATTATATAATCTAATACAACTTTAACAAGGGATTCTAAAGATGTCTGTTGAACAACCATTCTGTCTGCAACATCAGCAATTTGAGCCATTGTAGCAGATAGGTTATGAATGGATTTCTCAAGTTGGGGAATATCATAATTAGGCAGGAGTGCATGAAGGAATACTCAACCCATTCCAGGTTTGTCAGCTACTGGATTAGAGTATGATATGTTGTCCCTTCAGTTCTTACTGGGAATTTTCACATCACTGGTCCAATGTATACTTTCATTATAGGAAAGAATATTTGGTGGAACTTCTAAAAGCCCTAACGTACAATGACCCTGCAGTCTCCAACCATCTAAGCATAGGACTAGTCACTAGGGTTAGGCTCTCTGATAGTGCTATAATTGGATCCTCCATATAAAAATACATATCCATGGGGCATACAGATCATCTCATTTCCGGTATAAATTATCTGGAATAGTTCTATTAACCTCAAACCAACTTTCAGTAAGAATTGTCACAAATGGGTAATCATCCTAATTTCACTGGGCTCCACAGTTTAGTACAAAGAAGGAACAAATTATTAGGATCTATCTGGCTTCCATCTTGACAATATGACAACTAAGTCATATGCAGTGACAAGGTGTCAAAATATTTAGGGGAATCAGCAGTTTGGATTGGGGTATCATTTTGGCAGTACTGTAGTAATCTGCTAAAACTGTGATAGAGACCAGGTAAATTTGTATATCTAAAACAGGTCAGTATCCAGCTTACCACATGGGCTAAATTGAAACACGGTACCTGAGGACACGGTACCTGAGGTTGAGCCAACAATTCAGGGAGATGTCAAAGACTGATATATATGGTTTGTTTAAAGGTAACATTAAGATTAATAACAGTTTCAGGCACAAGACTAAATTTGATATTGGAAACACTAGTGGATCTGAGTTTTTATGTCCTTGTGGGTTGGGGTGACAGATCCAACATTCAGTCAAGTCACTGACACTAGCTACTGATTGGGCCAACTTAACAAAAGCATTTTTTTTTTCTCCAAGCCTCAGATGGAATTCCTATGAAGAGAAGAACAAAGCTTAAACAAAATTTCATGTTGTACAAGTCTCACCAGCAGATTAAATCAGTTACATAACAAAGCTAGCAGAGTTAAAAGAGTGACAATTATTAGGCAAAGTCCACAAAATTCAACATGCATGTGGTCGTGTTCTGTGATCTTGGGACTAGCTGTCTACCTCAGATGTCATCTGCTTCTGGCCCTTAGAGTGTCTCGAGGTACTCTTTAATTCTCCAGAGGGCTGGCTAGTCCACAGAGGTGTCTTGGCTTTCTTTAATTGTGACAAATGGATCCAAGGTTTAATTCTTATTTTGGCAGCACACAGTTTGGTGAAGAGGACCAGGTATAGTCCCCTCTAATGGGACTCCAAGGAATCCTTCAGTTAACGCCTCTTCCAGTATACATCCTCTCCTGGAGCAATATTGGGCAGGTTTTGAGGCTCTGGCTTTTGGTCATCAGAGGCTTCCTTAACCTGTAAAAAATATTTTTTAGAGTATTTGGTTAAAGATTGGCAATATTTTAGTAATTCGGGCTACATAATATTAGCGTCAGTATGAGCAATATAACGTAAAGTAATCCAAAATTGGCAGGTCAAATGAAAGGCTCATAATTCATGTCATCAGATGACAAAATGGAGGATAATTACATAATATCTGCTAAACCACTGAGAATCATGGCCTAGCCAAGCTGACATATAACTTTAACCATCGCAGGTGACTCTTTGTGCAGTAGTAAGGATGCTAAAGGCCATTTGGTTTTGAAGAACTACTTCCCCATCATAGTCATTTCAGTATTCATTCCTTGGAGTCCATGGATGGAATCATTTAAAACATTCTGGACATACTTGGAACTTTGACATAAGCCATAACATCTTCTAATCCTATTTGAGGTACAAAAGTAAAAGCCAAATGATTATATCATTGAAATACAGATCTATACTAATGAGCTCTTAAAAGGGCAACAGGTAAGTCAGTTAATATATGACCTTGGGTCCAGCTCAGTCCCATAGTACATGTGCTAATCCATCCAATGGGAGCCAAGGCCAAAGGTTAGAGCCACATAACCAAGATGTGACATTTGGGCTAATCAAATAGCAAGAACGAGGAGATGAGAAAAAACCCTTACCATAGGCTATCCCATAGTGAGCATAGTATTATTCATTACTAAAATAGCTTGTTCTTACATTAAAAAGGGAAAGAAAAATAGAAATTATTTCCTATATCTAGGAAATAGGACACTGAACATCAGCAATATTCTCATATAAACCTTTGAGTAATTCTTTTAGTTTACTCACTCCTATGTAGTTAATTTTGGTTCCATGTAATTCTGGTTCAGCAGTAGTCTGAAAACCCTGTCAGCTTCTTCTACATAAGAGTTCTAGAAATCTTGTTTTAGTCCAAATAATATTCAAAACATTATAGTTCTCTCTATAAGTCTGATATAGTCCATTTTTGTTGAAATATTTTGGTCAGGTATTTTCAGTGAATCAGCAAACTAAAACTT